TCCACGTCGTTGCAAATGGCAAGGTCTCATTCCTTTTGATGGCTGCATAATATTCCATTGTGTATATATACCACATCTTCTTTATCCATTCATCTTTGACAGGTAAAATTTATCCTCACAGGTTTTCTGGAAGGTACCACAGACACTGTTTATGTAATAAATAATCCAGAAAATAAGAATTTTTTAGCCACATGCCTAAAGGTTTTTCCTGTTGTGTTACCGGATAAGCTGTATTTAAGGATGGGTGAAAGAGACTGACCTTGTGTCTTGTGTTATGAAGATGACATGCCCTCCAGGAACTCTAGCTTCTGGCAATGCCCCCCATAGTGATTTGAGCAGTGGATGTGTAATTACGTGGAGCAGCTTCATGAGAGAGTCAACATCTGTCCTATCCAAATTATTCTTTGCTTCCTCTCAATAAATGAATTAAACTTTTGGGAAGGAAAGCATGAGGGGGACAGTGTAGTTTTAGAATTTTCCTTAATCCCTAACAGAAATGGAGGAAGCCGGCCAGTGAAAGAAAAAACACAGAAATACAGCTACCTGACAGAGGTATTATTATCTGCTGGGGTCAAACCACCAGCAGCGGCGAGACTCGGGTAGGATACAGCAGCTGTGCAGGAGGAAACAGGGGAGAAGAGGGGGCCCCGCTGATCGTTTTTTTTTTTTTAAGATTTTATTTATTTGAGAGAGAGAGAAGCAGCATGAGAGGGGAGAGGGTCAGAGGGAGAAGCAGGCTCCCCGCCGAGCCGGGAGCCCGATGCGGGACTCGATCCCAGGACCCCAGGATCATGACCTGAGCCGAAGGCAGTCACTTAACCAACTGAGCCACCGAGGCGCCCCCACTGATCATTTTGACTGCCAGGGAACTTCCCCCCAAGTATTCACATGCAAAAGGAGGGGTCCCCACTTGGAGTAAAGAAGTTTGTAGGCATATCGGATAACAACAGTTAAAGCTGGGAGGCACTTTACAGGCTCCAATCTGTGGGTGACAACGAGGACATTGGAGGAGGTGCAAGGCTGCCAAGGTGGCCCGAGCCCTCAGGGCTCTCAAAAAATACCTGGTGAAAATCTTTCTGGAAGGACAGAGCCACTCCCTAAAAATAAACTGCCAAGGACCACAGACCCTGCAGTGACAGGGCATTAAAGGAGAAAGAAAGCTCGGATACCAATGGAGGAGGAGACCAGAGGAAGTAGATTTCAGGAGTTATTGAGGGGGTGGCTACACTCAGAGGCCACATTTTCAGTACTTCAGTGTAAAACCAGCAGAGAGAGCCCTAGAGCCATGAAACAAGGAAAGCTAGTCTGGGTCGTCCCCTCCGCACCTCACTTAAAATGAGCAGCAGAAGTAGATTGAGATCGGACTTCATGCAAGCATATTGTAAGAAAAAATGAGGATAGCCCCTCTGAATAATAAAGTTGCATATAATTAAGTAATATCAGCAAAACAGGGTACAAAGCAGAACATTTCTAATATTCCAATAGAAGCTAAAGGAAATTCAGGGGGTGCCTGGGTGGTTCGGTTGGTTGAGCATTGGACTCTTGGTTTCCGCTTGGGTTGTGATCTCGGGGTCGTGGGATGGAGTCCCGTATTGGGCTCTGCATTCAGCGCAGAGTCTGCTTGTCCCTCTCCCTCTGCTCTTCCCACTGCCCCCCCCCCCGACACCCCTGGCTCACTCGCTTGTGCGCTCTCTCTCAAATAAATAAAATCTTTTTTAAAAACCTCAGAAAATGATAGAAGTTAGGAAAGAACTGTATACATCAGGATTGGAAAATTTAGAACTGAGAGGAGTAAACGATAGGCATTGTGGAAAGAGCTGACAGAAAGGAACAGACAAGGAACCCAGGCAGTAGACAAGATGTTTAGAAAAAAAAAAAAAATCTCAAAAACTAAATTTAAAAATGGACAAAACCAAGCAGTAGTGTCAGGGAGTATACATTAGGTGATCAAGCTGTAAAGAAATGCAGGAAAATGATTACTATAAAATGAGGCTGGTCGTTATGTTTGAGTGAAGGAAGGGCCTTGAAATTAGGACGCAACCTAGAGGTGGTCTTCCAGGGGGGCTGGCAAAATTCCATTGCCTGAACTGGGTGATGGCTACAAGAGGGGTTGGCTTGTAATAACTCACAAAGGTAAATATTTGTTTGGTTTTGTTTTCTAATTGTGTCCGTTAGTAATGCCTTTGGTTGCCAGTAGCTGTCCGTCTTAGCTAATGGCCCTCAGCTGGTGCCACAGCTCCCTCTACAATCAGGTGTCCCGGCACTCTGCCTTTCCAGGGCACTGCCCTTGTGTTTCAGATACACATTTGCTGCCTGGTGGAGGCAAGATGATGGATACATCCAGCCTCCCCAGTCTTCTCCAGGCAGGAAGAGGTGACACGCACTGCAGGGGAAGTTGGGGAGGCGAGTTTTTAGTTGTTCAGGTCCTTATGGTAGAAACGAACAAAGCAGAAGGGAGTTGGATGTGAGTGTGGAGAGGAGCCTGCCTGCATGCATATATCTAAAACAGTGGTTCTTCACTGGGGGGTGATTTTGCCCCTCAGAAGACATTTGGCAATGTCTGGAGACATTTTTGGTTGTCCCAATTGGCAGGGAGTGTGCAGTGCTACTGGTATCTAGTGGGTAGAGGCCAAGAATTCTGCTTAACATCGTGCAATGCACAGGACAGCCGCCCACAAAAGAATCATCTGGCCCGAAATGTCAGTAGTACTGAAGTTGAGAAACTCCAAAATGCTTTCAGGGAGACCATAAGGTCCAAACTAATTGAATGATTTAATAATAATAGTAATACATTACTTGTCTTTTTAAAAAAATATTTCTTTATTTATTTTTGAGAGACCGAGAGAGTGAGCGAGGTAGGGAAAGGGGCAGAGGGAGAGAACATCCAAGTGGACTCCTGCTGAGCGCAGAGCCCAACGTGGGGCTCAAGCTCATGACCCATGAGATCAGGACTTAAGCCAGAATCAAGAGTCACACGCTCAACTGACTGAGCTGCCCAGGCGCCCCCATTATTTGTCTTTTTTACTTCAATTTTTTCACGAGTGTGCAGTGGAGTAGAGTTTTCCAGAGGCTGCATAACATGTGATATTGACTATCTGTTGGTCGAATGCAGAAAGAGATAAGAGAACCATCTGTCTTCCATTAATCGAGGTAGTAAAGACATTTGAAAAACTGTAAAACAAATGGCTCTCTTCTCACTTTTTTTTGTTTTGGAAAATATAATTATTTTTCATTAAAAATATGTACGTTAAGGGGCACCTGGGTGGCTCAGTCAGTTAAGCATCTGCCTTCGGCTCAGGTCATGATCTCTGGGATTGAGCCCCACATCGGGCTCCCTGCTCAGTGGGGAGTCTGCTTCTCCCTCTGTCCCTCCCCCCACTCATGTTCACTCGCACACGCTCTCTCTTTCTCCCAAATAAATAAAATCTTTTAAAAAATAAGTACATTAACATTTGACGGGGTTTATTCCTAATTCTAAATGCATAAATATTTAATTTTTTGTTTTATTTAATACAGTAAATATCAATAGCTATTGCCCACAAAAACTACAGCTCTTTAGGGGCCTCAGTGGTTTTTAAGAGTATAAAGGAGTCCTGAGACCAAAAGTTTGAGAGCTGCTCATCTGGAGAACAGCCGATTTTTCAATGTCTAAGAAATGTGAAGACTATGAGAAGTGGAATTATGTCTGGTCTGTCCTAAAAGAAGACTTTCATCATTTCACAGACCTTTGTTAAAGCCTTCTTGGTGCCCTGACCCTATGCTGGGTCCTGAGAACACAGGGGTCAGTGGGAAAAGGGTTTCTGCCTTCAAAGAGATTTCAGTCTATCAGTGGGGCCAAATCACATTCAGTGTGATTATTTTTGAAGGTTCTGTTAACAGAGGTCTTTTCCCAGTGTGATGGCATTGCATTGGAGAGTGCAGGGTTGCCCTGTGGTGTTCTTAGAACCAAGCCTTCTATAAGACCTCACTCAGATCAGGAAGATTTGTCACTTTCGTTTCATTTGTCTCCCAAACCACCCTGTCCCGCCAGAGGTAGGAATCGCCTCTATACATTTGTCACCAGTGGCTTAAGCTGAAACTAATTGATATGCTTCCTGCCCGTTTTTAGTGACTGTACTGGCAATATTTAACGAATTGCACGCAGACGTGGATCTTTACGCACTTCTGTTTGGGGAAAGCGTCCTAAATGATGCCGTTGCCATTGTCCTGTCCTCGTAAGTAACAATAGTATTTCTGCCCGGGGCAGAGAGCCTCTGGCTTCCGGCGTGCTCTGGGCTCAATTCAGAGGCTTCTTTCAAAAGTGTTAAAGATTGAACTGGGTGTTTTTCTAAATGAGGTTCATCAGTTCTGTTGATAAAGTTATGTTGCTTTGTCCACTTGGCCGCGATCTGAATGCTGATGGCGGCAGGTTGAAGGCCTACAGCACGGGGAGTGCTAGGCAGAGTGTAGATACCTCCGTTTGCTGATCTTTTTAGGTACCACGGTGTAAGGGCAGCGTGCTCTGTTTTAACTCTCTCTTCCTTTTAAACCCCAGGTCTATTGTTGCCTACCAGCCAGCGGGGCTGAACACTCATGCCTTTGATGCTGCTGCCTTTTTTAAGTCAGTGGGCATTTTTCTAGGTATATTTAGTGGCTCTTTCACCATGGGAGCTGTGACGGGCGTTGTGACTGCTTTAATATCCTTTTTGTGGTTTCTGCCCCCGCCTGGGTAGGATTGTGTGCTAGTGCACTTGCAAGAACGAGGTCTTGGTTCTTCCTCTCAGAAATGACTTTTTTTTTCCAGAAATGAATCTTAAATCGATGTTTCCACTGGGGTCGGGGGTGGGGGGAACTCCTGAAATGTGTCCCTTTGGTGAAACATGACAGTCGAGTACGTAGCTAAGAGTCTGAGAAAATGTTTGGGAGTGTGACTCTAGCATGTGCCTTTGCACTCTCTCCCTCCGGTGAACCAGCTGGGGGAGGACATTGGTTTTGGAAGCGGGGGAAAGAGCCAGGAGGAGGCTGGGGAGCAGGGGCCGCCGCACGGGAGGCTAGGAGGGGGCAGGCTGGGAAGTACTTGAGCCTCAAGCCTGCCCTTGGCTGTTGTGGGCCACGCGGGCTAATGCGGCCGTAACTACCTGGGGCCATCAGTGGGAATTACCGCGAGGTGGCCTTCCTTAAGTGAAGGATTGTATCCCACTTAGTTAAAAATCCAGCCAACCGACATTAAAGCAAAGTGTAGGACGGGCAGGCCACCCCTCGACAGGTGTGCGTAGTCCTTCGTCAAATGTTCTTTCAGTGGCATTTAGATCCCCGCCATCACAGAAGCCACAGATGCCAGCCACGTCATCTCAGCCTGCAATCAGTATACAAATTATCATGGAGATTTTATACCCACAATTTCTATAATAAATCTTTGCAGCGTGGCAGGTATTTTGCTCTTCCAGCATCTCTCAATTCGGACTAGCCCCATTTCGAGTGCTCAGTAGCCACACGTGGCTAGCGACTACCATACTGGAGAGCACGGACCCAGTTGCTTTCTCCACAGAGGCCCCTGTGATGCGCTGGTTCCATGCTGGCCCACTGTGGAAGGGCAGTGTTACGAGGGGACTCTCTGGTCCCCGAAAGTGGCACCAGCCCCTGGAGTTGTGCATTTTATTTCTTCATTTCTCATGCATTCATGAGGCGCCTGCTGTTGGACTCAGGTCCTAGCGGCCCACAGAGGTCAGAGTGTCGCTGGCCTAGCCTCCCTCCCCAGGCCTGCCTGAGGCAGCCCCTGCACTGCAAGAACCAACTTGCCAGTCACCCCTCAGGCCAAGACCGAGCCCCTCAGAGCCATGGGCATTGCAAGGAGCACAGAAAACCTATTTCCAGTTGCTTTAGAAAGTTCCATTTTTTTAAAGACAGCTTTATTGAGGTAAAATTGACATACCGTACAATTCACTCATTTGAAGTGTACAATTAAATGGCTCTGGGTATGTCACGTTATTATTTTTTTAAATTGTGGTAAAATACATATAACGCAGTTTGCCGTGTTAAGCATTTTAAGTGTACGATTGAGTGGCGTTAAGTACATCCACACTGTGTAACCGTCCCCCCTGTTTCCAGATCTTTCTCATCATCCCAAACAGAAACAATATCACCCTTTCTCCTCTCTCCCAGCCCTCGGAAACCTCGTTTCTACTCGAAAACTTAGTTTCTGTTACTTTAAAAACCAAGCAGCAGCTTTGGGGCCCCCAGAAGAAGAGTTGAAGGGAAAGGATCACCCTTAGGGAACAGGGGGGATCCTGGGCTCACCACGTGTGGTTCTTGGTAGCCCCGATAACTTGTTCCCGGAGCCAAGTTCCTTGACAGGGGCCCACGTGACCAAGTTTACCAAGCTGCACTGCTTCCCTCTACTGGAGACGGCACTCTTCTTCTTGATGTCCTGGAGCACCTTCCTTTTGGCGGAAGCCTGTGGGTTCACAGGTGGGTTTTCACTACCCTTGGGCTACCCTTTCCCTCCCTGCAGCCCAGGGCTGTGCGAGCTGGAGGGGAGCTCGTGGAACAGCCGCATGGAGTTGATACACCACTCACAGAGCGGCCATATGGAGGATTGCTGGGCAAGGCTGGTATTCCACCTTAGGAATAATTTTGTTTCCCAGAGCTACACGTTTTTAAAGGATGAAATTTATTGTTTCAAGCTCAGTTGTCTCTGAGTACTCATTCCAACTGTAAGCAGATGTTTAGCTGCAAAGGTTACTGAATTTATTAACCTCCTAATTGTATCATGCCCTAGATTGCTGCTTCTCTCACAAACAGTAACAAACAACAGACAAAATCTGTATCCTTGTAAGGGTAACTCTCTATCAACTCAGATGAATGTGAACACAGTTTGTCCTTGTTTTGGCTCTGGTCTATTTAATCATTGTTTTTCAATACTATGTTTTTATGATGCCAATTTCATGTATTATTAGTGTGAGTAACCTTGTGGTTTTAGTTCTTCACGTTCTCTCATCAAAAAAAAAAAAAAAAATCACTGAATTTTTCCACTAGAAAACTCAAGTACAATTGCTATACATAATCCAGGTAGTTGGGAAGCCCTTTTACCTCTTTTCAAAATACTGCAACATATCTTTATATGCAGCATTATAAAATACCCCACTTCTTTGAAACTTGGCAATTACCTGTAAATGTATAGGCACGGTCCAGGTGCGTAACCAGGGTAACCAAGGCTTGGATAAACGGCACAGTACTCTGGATCCGTTCTGTCTGAAGCCCTAGACCGTGCAAAAATAGAAAGCATTTGCTTGCAATTAAATTCTTTGCTTCTAAGAACAGAGAACAGAGAGGAATATGACAAAAGGATATGATGGGCCCTCATGGCCTTTTTTTTTTTTTTTAAGATTCATTTATTTAAGAGAGAGAATGGGGGGGGTAGGGGCATAGGGAGAGAGAGAGACTCTCAAGCAGACTCCCCGCTGAGTGTGGGGCCCGACGCAGGGCTCAATCCCACGACCCCAAGATCATGACCTGAGCCGAAATCAAGAGCCAGACGCTCAACCGACTCAGCCACCCGGGTGCCCCACAGCCTCTTTGAAAAAGTGAATGCTAAATGCCAAAATCAGTGGGAGTTTAGAGGAGAGGAGAGAATGCCCTTAAAACTGGAGCAGGAAGGGAAGTCGGGGACCTTGGCTTTGAAGGAAGGCAGTCAGAAGAAGGAAAGGTTGATATGAGCTGTGGGGGCGAGGGAGCTTTCAGCAATAGGAAACTTTCCAAACTATTCAGGAAGTTGGATATGTTGGGCTTGCCTACCTTAACTTTTTGTTTCAGCGGGGATTTTTTTTCCAGCTTTTTTTTTTTTTCCATTGATTTTTTCTTTCTTTTTTTAAAAATCTCTCACCAGGCGTTGTGGCTGTCCTGTTCTGCGGGATCACACAGGCTCATTACACCTACAACAATCTGTCGGTGGAATCAAGAAGTCGAACGAAGCAGGTGAGAGCGAGCTCTGGGTCCTCATGAGTTACCTGTGAATACAAGGGAGGAGACCCACAGGGTTTACTGCTTCCTTTCCCCGTCCTGTGCAGCTCTTTGAGGTGTTACACTTCCTGGCAGAGAACTTCATCTTCTCCTACATGGGCTTGGCGCTGTTTACCTTCCAGAAGCACGTTTTCAGCCCCGTGTTCATCATTGGAGCTTTTGTATCCTTTTCTGGTTCTACCGTTTTCTCTGTGGACAGGTGACCACTGCTGGGGAAGCTAGAATAAGAAGAATTTCCGTTTTGGGTGGGTGACTGAGCCAGCGCTAGTTCGTCGTGGTGGTGTTTTCATGATGAGAACAAGAAGGTTTATGGGGTTTGTAAAGCTAAATGTATTTGATTTAAGGATTAGCCTGGATCTAAGGTTGTCCTCTCGGTGTGTTCTGTGTAAGATGGTTTTTCTGTTACACTGGTGCTTGGCAGGTGGTAGCTTGTTTTGTAGAGCACCCTTCTTTTTATTTATTTATTTTTTAAGATTTTATTTATTCATTTATTTTAGAGAGAAGAGCACGCATGTGCATATGCATGCGGGGTGGGGGAGGGGAGCAGAGGGAAAGGGACAAGCAGACTCTGCGCTGAGCGCAGAGCCCGACATGGACCCAATCCCGGGACCCTGAGACCACGGACTGAGTTGAAATTAAGAGTCAGATGCTCAACCGACTGAGCCACCCAGGTGCCCCGTAAAGCACCCTTCTTTTTAGCAGATCTACAAGTTGGCAACTGTGTCAGTCCCAGAATCATTTTTGTCTCATTGCTCTATGAATTCCAATCCAGGAGGTTCCCAGTTTGGGAGGCCTGAAGGTTCTGTTACTCTTGTTCTGGACTGCACCCTGGGGTAGGCAGCCCTTCCTCATGCTTTCACTGGAGCATCCCTGCTGTGATAGATCACAGTGGGAAAGACTCCTTTTTTTTTTTTTCCAAAAAAAAAAAAGAAAAGACAAAATGGAAAAATACTTGGTTCCCTGACTTAGTTCCATTGTGAGTGCAGTTTTTGGAAGAGAGACACAGTTTTAGGGATTGGCTTCTCTCAAGAAAGGAGGCATGTGAATGCCCAGCAGTGGATCGACAGCTCAGAGTTTTGCTCGCTTGGCCTCAGAGCCTATTGTTTTCATCGAAGTGAACTTCTCTGGGGCTTGGAATAGTAGCAGTCCAGCTCAGCGTGGATTTCAAAATACTGAGCCGGCGTCCCTTATTGCTGGGCATTTACTCTTGCCTTTTCTCAGGCCTCATGGGTAACCTAAAAAAAAAAAAAAAAAAAGTGTTTTTCTCTTTTGGGCTTTTCATTTATGGTGCAGGACTAGGGGACACTCAGCAAGCAGCTCGATAGTGACTGTGGCCTGTTGCCATGTGGAGGCCTTCCAGTTAGAGTGTTCTCTGCTTCACCTGGGGCTCTTTTTGTTGGATTTGCACACTCACCAGACGAACAGCTAAAAATCTGGGGGATCAGCGTTCTCGTTCTCGATTCAGAAAGCCCTTGCGTATCCTCTGGATTTGTATTCCTAGCACGGCATCCCGGGAGCCCTTGTTTACAGAGGAGGGCTTTGCTGGGCGGGCCACCCGGGCCCCCTGGGAATCCCGAAAGCCGCCTACCCACTTGACGACCTTTGCATGGCTTCTGGGATAGAATGTGCTTCCTAAGCAACTACCTGTTTCCTTCTGTTCAAAACAAAACAACACAACACGGAGCCGGGGGCGGAAGCCAGCTAAAAGCAGAGAAACAGTCAGTCCTGTACCCCGGGGAAGGCAGAAGACCAGGGCAGCGGGCCGCTCTCTGCTGGGCTCTGGTCCAGACTCCGCAAGTGACGTTTCCCTGATTTCGGTGCCTTCCACATGCCCCCGTTTCCATGCCTCACCCCTCCGGAAGGCATTTGAGCCTCTTAGGTAGAAAAGTCTCCCCCTCCCATTGAGTGTTGTGACGGATAGGAATGCTGCTTCAGTGGGCCGCCCAAAGCGGGCCGCCCAAAGCTGCTCACTTGTAGCGTCTTCCTGGTCACGTCGGGCCCCTCCTTGTTGGCCTCCAACTAAAGCTTGTGAGCTCATACCCAGGAAACTTGCTCTTCACCGTTTGACCTGGAGGTTAGGCGTTGCTTCTTCTTGTGGCTTTCCTTCTCACGGGACCCGAGTCACTATTTGCTCCTCTCAGCGCACCCTCCAACCCCTGCCGTGGTGCCTGAGCTTATTTCTGGACTCATTTTTAGAGAGATGGCAGACTTGGTCCACACCAGCGTAATTAAATCAAGAAGTTATAACAGGGGCACCTGGGTGGCTCAGTCGGTTAAGCGTCTGCCTTCGGCTCAGGTCATGATCCCGGGGTCCTGGGGTCGAGCCCCGCGTTGTCGGGCTCCCTGCTCAGTGGGGAGCCTGCTTCTCCCTCTCCCCCTGCCACTCCCCCTGCCTGTGCTCTTGCTCTCACGCTCTCTCTCTCTCAAATAAATAAATAAAATCTTTAAAAAAAAGAAGTTATAGCAGCACACATTTAACAGGTTAGAAATTACCTCTGGTGGGAGCCAGGAGGTTGGGAAAGTTGTCTAGTTGAGTCCCCACTTATTGCTGAGATGCGTTTCGAGGGAGCCTGGACAGCCTGGCTGCCTTGTGCAACCCTCCTGATCTTTGTGCAGGTTATCTCCTGGTCGTGAGGTGTCAGAGCATCCCTAAAATTCTCTGCTCCACCAGAGGCCATGGGAAGGTGCCATTCTGGAAACCTGTTGGGTCCTTAACCTCCGCCTGGCGGTCAGGTCGCCATCTTCCTGGGCAGAGCTGCACACATCTACCCGCTCTCCTTCTTCCTCAACTTGGGCAGAAGGCATAAGATTGGCTGGAACTTTCAACACATGATGATGTTTTCAGGTAAAAAAAACAAAAACAAAACCATACATGTAAAGAAAATGAGCTTTATTCGGCAGGAATGTTAGCATGAGTAAAATATCATCAATAAGTTTCATAAAGGGACAGAAGTTCAAGTTCCTGGTTCTTTTGTATCCCCTGCAATGCTGAGTAGACAGATGTACATGTTAGAGTTAATAATTGATTTTACAGACTAAACTACCAAATGTGAACATTCTCCCTTAAAATATCCACATCTTCATTTTTATCTTTACCACCTGTGGGACCTGGAGATATTTAAGTATTTAAAGTGCTTGATGATTCTCTGATAGATATTCATAACCCTTAATCTTCCAGAAGGACTCCAGACCTAAAATTAGAAGGGCGATAGGTCTTTAAAATAAGAAAGAACACAGGCCAGGTCACTCAGTACCTCCCAGCTGCAGTATCCGCTCTTGTAAAATAATGAAATTGAGCTAATTGAGTTGAGGTTCCTCCTAGCTCCAACTTTCTCTGAAGCGTTAAAAAAAAAAAACACAACAAAAACCCAAACCAAAAAACCACTTGCATAAATAAGATGAGCCCCGAACCGGACGTTAACACTGTGATAGTTCTGCTTGATTCATGCTGTCTCCCAGATGCCCCCCTCTCCACCATAAAGCCGAGAAGTGTGCAGAAGCCACTGAGGGGACAAAGGACAGTAAAATATGCGGAGGTAAAGGAAGGAGAGAGCAGTTGGCATGAGTTGATGGTGCAGTAAGCGTCAGGCATTATAGAGGAGACCCAAGTTAGAGGGTCTTTGCAGAGCAGAGGGAGGAGATGGTGGGGCAGAAGGCCGCAGTGATCCTTAAAGGTACGGCTGTCCTCTGGGGCGGGGAGGGGCTGCGCAAGAGGCAGAGTGAGTAGCAGCCCTTGACTATGACATCGTAGTTCTCGGGGGCCCTCAGAGTCTTCCTGAACGCTCAGCAGCAGGCACTGCTCGGCGAAGTGGTTGCTCTGCGTAGTACTTGCTTACATCTGCGCTGAAATAGGCAGCCTTCCCCTCTGGCAGATGTTCATGGAGCATCCTCTTTTTATAAGCCACAGTTCTGGGTTCTGGAGGAGACAGAGACCGCCTCCTTGCAGGGCTCCCAATCCACTGTGGGGGAGGCAGGTGTGCAAAGAGCTAGCTTCCTCTGGAGAGAGGGTGACACGTTGCACATAAAAGGTGTGGAATCAAGGTGGAGAAGAGGAGGGCCTGGGGCCATCTTTACCAGGGGGGCAGCCTTCCACCTGGGCTTGCCAGACGTGGGTCTCACGAGGCAGCAGGTTGGAGAAGCAGGAGAGCATTGCCACGGGTAGCTTTTGCCAAGAAGGGCAGCAGCGTGGTTTCGCGGTAAGACACAGGGGCTAATGCAGAAAGAGGGTGAGGTTGGACGGGATAATTGCATCTAGGCTGTTGTGAGCCTTCAGGCGGCATCAGAACCGCCTGTTGGGCTGGTTCGAGCCCTTTGCCGGGCCCCACCGCCAGAATGATTCTGCAGGAACGGGGTGGGCTCCAAGAATCGGCATTTCTCATGTATTCTCGGCTGCTGCTGCTGAGGGTGGTTTGAGGACCACGCTTTGAGAACCACTGTTGGAGTCTGGACCACAGAGAAGCCCCAGGGCTGTGCCAAAGCGTTTGGGCTTGCCTCAAGAGCAGCTGGGCCGCTTTAGAGGTTTCTGAGCAGGCCACGCCAAGATCCTCCTTCCATATCAAGAAAGTGTTGCTGGAAAAGAGCAAGACCAGGTGGAGATAACTCAGTCACCTGGATAAACTTAAAGTATGTTCATTATTTCCTGTACTAAAAGACTGAGAAGTACACAGAGCTGTTTAAAGATATCTCCTGTAAAACTTATTTCCTGCCGTGAGCAACCTCACCATCGAAAGGAGCTCAGTTCTTCAGAGTGATGAAAAACCCAAGGCTTCTCTATCATATCGCTCACAGCATTTACCTAATAAAATAAAGACAAATGGAGCACACAGTGTCTCTCTCCGACCCCCAAGTTTTCTTCTTTGAGACAGCATCCCTTTAGAGGCTTAAATATTGATCGTTGACAAAGCTGGCTGTTGGGTGGTCTAGATGTGCGTGTCTCCCTAACACAGAGTAATAGAAAACTTTGTATTTAGTAATAGAAAACTTTGTTAACTTTGTATTTTCATGTCACTTTTTGGAATCATTCTGTAGTGAATTGTGAAGTTCTCAGATTAGTGAATTTGCAAAATTATCAGGAAAGGTAGGAAACTATACAAACAGATATAGTGGGTATAACTTTTCATTCTCTAATACAGTATACACAGTCATTGTAGTCCTCCCCCCCATCGCCCCCCCACCCCCGGTGAACAGGAGCTCACACCAAGTTTCTGTTAAGGACCATGGATTCAGTCTTTACTATAAAACAAATGATGAGCTTGCTTTGAAGAAGGAACAAAAGAGCTTAGAAAGGCAAACATTAAAATGTGGGTGCTTAACCTTTTTTTTTAAACAAACAAACATTTTATTAAATATAAGTAAAATCTAATACAAGATGAAAATATGAGAACTCACATAAAAGAACAAATATTTGTGAATATATATTAAAAATATTCACAATTGTTTCAATTCCTTTGTGAGTGTTGCACAATGTAGATCAAAACATATGCTCTTAAAAAAAACATACGCTCTTAAAATTAAAGGTGAGTAAGAATATACTTAACTGCATTAATTTCTATTTCGCAGGGTTTTTTTTCTTTTTTTTAGTATAGTTGACACACAATGTTAACATTAGTTTCAGATGCACAACATAGCGATTCGACTTCCCATTAATGTGGATGAAGGGTCAGCGAACTGTAGTCCCTGGGCCCTGTTGTCATATACTTCATGGCTAACCATGGCTTTTACGGATGGGCATCTACAGTCTGTGTGATGATAGGGGACACTAACTTTGAAATCCAGTTAAGTGAAGTCTCCTCCAAAAAGAATCCCATTGTTTGCATTAATGCACCTATATTATAACAAATTGTACTCGGTTATTATTACTCCACTCTTGGTTTTTGTCAATAAGATTTTGTGGAAATTTGTTTTTTCTCTTATATGTCAGTATCCTTGATCTTTCACAGTATCCTTGATTTTTTCCCCCTTGCCCCATAAAGCCTAAGATATTTAATATCTGACCCTTTACAGAAAAAGTTGCCAACCCCTGATACAGATCAGGTTATACTGTTACTTCTCTGTGTGGCTTTGCTGCGGAAATGCTGAACTGTTCTGTAGCTCATGGCACAGAAACCACAAATATGCACTTGCCATATTCATACCTAGCCTGTTACTTTAGTTCATAATGACTGTATAGTGCTTGGATCACAGACCTAGAGAGCTTATGTTGTTATTTCTTACTTACATTTCTTTTTACTTCGTGTTACTAGCAGGAGAACTGTTGCCCTAATAAGAGTGTGCTATTGTCCTAGAATGTGCCATACAAGGTAGTGCAGTGTTTTTCTCATTACATTTGGGGTATTTTGCAAATGAAAACTTCCAACAGGAGAAAACCGTATTCCCGTAAAGTTTCTTCTTTCCGAGTAAGACAGCGTGGCTCCCACAGCACATGCAGATCCAGTTTATTAGCCTCGAGTGGCAGCAGTGGATCCGAGGACACATTGTCATTTGGCCTTAGAACCAAATCTTCTTCTTCGGTCCCCACAGGCCTCAGGGGGGCCATGGCATTCGCGCTGGCCATCCGAGACACCGCGTCCTATGCTCGCCAGATGATGTTCACGACCACGCTCCTCATTGTCTTCTTCACCGTCTGGATCATTGGTGGAGGCACGACGCCCATGCTGTCATGGCTTAACATAAGGTCGGTTTGAAACCGCAGCCAGTTTTGCGACTAACACAGGGCGGCGGTTTGGGGGGGAGGGGGAGACAGCTTAGTGCGTGGAAGGTTCTTACGGGGTTGGGTTTGGTTTGGGGGTGGGATTGAAAATAAAAAGCAAGAAGTAACACTTCAGAATATTGACTTTTCCACGAGAAAAAAAAGGTGGGCATGAAAATTTCTGTCGGTGCGAAAACACAAGGCCTTAGAAACACCTGGACCGTGCTAGAACAGTGACACTAGGGCAGGAATTCCAAAGTTTTAAGGCTGCAGGCAAGAGAACGGACGGTAACTGCCGGCAATGCCTGGCGTTTCAAGTTCCTTTGCAATCACACCTCCAGCCTTCGAAACAGGCTCATCCACCAGAGGTGAAAAGAGACAACTAGAGTTTTGTTTCTGCGAGGAAACTGTTTGCTCTGTCTCTTCTTGCTCGAGCGTACAAAAGAGGTGACATTTCCTGCATCAGCCTCATTTGTTATAACCTCATTGATGTCCTCTGCCTGTGGTTTTGCAGCTGGGTCAGCACGGAGAGCGCTGACCTAAATTTGAATTTTTTTTTTTTTTTTTTTTTTAAGAGCGTTTGAATCCCAGAGGGTGCTGGCGAGCTCCAGCACCTTAGGGTAAGGAGGACACTAGAACAGAGGACAGGAGTCCCGGAGCCTAACTCTGGCTCTGGTTCAAGGCAGGCCCTTCCTGTCTTTGGGCCTCAGTTTCCCCTAATATTAAGTGAAAGCATGCTGTCAGATCTTCTGCAGTCCCCTTCAGCTCCCAGTGTATGTGCTCTGCCTCATTGGAGGCGTCCCCACCACCTCCCTCAATGTGGGGTCTGCGGAGGATGAACATGATCAGAACGTGATCAGAATGTGACAATGCTCCGGGCGTGTGTGGGTGTGAAGAAGAATTCTCTGAGAAGCCACAAGGTGGCACCGTGTCTTTTGTTTTTTGGTTTTTTTTTTTTCCTTTCTCTGCTGACTTTCAGTTCACATTCCCTTCTCTGAAATATAGAATGCCCCAGACTGACAGCTGCAGAGCATACCTAGCTTGGAGGAGAGGGAACCTACAAAGATCTCGTAGTCATCCTTAGAGTCGGGGGGGGGGTACTGGAATTTGGGAGAAAACTGGAATTAGAGAGAACAGTCTTCACCCCGCCCCGTCCCCCCCTCCCCAACCCCATCAAGGACTTTTGTCTTGATGACAGCAGGGATTCCTGGGCTTGGCCTCTGCCAGCCGCACCATTTCTGGGCTAGCAAGTCTCAGCCTCACATCCTTGTGGGTCTGCAGAAGCTCCTATGTGGGGCTGATAAGTGGCAGTCACTTGATAGCTAACACTTGTGTGATGCAGGCCTTGTACAAGATGCCACACCTATATTAAGACAATCTTCACAACATTCCTATGGAGAAGCCACTACTATCATCTTCATTGTAGAGTTGACAGAATCGAGGCACAGAGCAATAATTTGCCCAGGTCACAGAGCTTTAGGTGGATGAGCCGGGATTTGGGGCCTGGCAGTCTTGCCACCCAGTCCACAGTCTGAACTACTGTGCTCTACCACCTTTGAGAAGGTTGACGGTGTTAGCAACCGCCTCTGTGTCGTGAAATTCGGGATGATCAGAACTTCAAGTTCCTGGTATGAATCTCAAGATTCGTGTTAAGGAAACGAATTCATCATGGGAATATGAACCTAGAGAAGAAAATGGACAGATTTTTGGCTCTAAACCTGACACATACAATGGTACCATCTTTGTTCTGTGTTAGAATAAGGGTAAAAAAAGGAGGCTTACCCTGAACACCGCTGAGGATCTTTAAGAATCTCGAGATCAGGGGCTCCTGGGTGGCTCCGTCCATTAAGCATCTGCCTTTGGCTCAGGTCAGGAGCCCAGGGTCAGCGGGGAGCCTGCTTCTCCCTCTCCCTCTGCCCCTCCCCCGACCCCCTGCTCATGGTCACTCTCTCTCACACTCTCAAATAAATAAATAAAATCTTAAAAAAAAAAAAGAATCTCAAGATTGACTTCTGAGATTACTTTCTGCTCCTATTTGGTCACTCAGGAGGCACCCTAGATACTCGGAGCCTGACTAAATCATGTTTGTTTTTCATGCTAGTTTATGAGCCCTCCCACACACTACACACATATATAGAACCAAATAATTTCCCACTGAGAAGGGAGAGTTGACTTGTGACTTTTTGCACTTCTGGTAACCCTTTTCAAAATTGGGCCATTAAAACTGTCCTATCCAGAACTGAGAGTGTGGGTAGCTTTCCCTGAGGCACACAAACTGTATATACAAATATAACAACTGTATTGTTGTGGAAATATTGATGTAATGTATAGATAACACGTAGACCATAGCAGCTAGCGCACAGTGAGGGCTCAGGAAATGACGATGTGTGTGACTGGGTATAGGAGAGATCTAGTTTCTCCACATCCTTGCCAGCATTTGGCATTGCCACTATTTTTCATCGTAGTTGTTCTAATAGGTGTGTGGGGATACCTCACTGTGGTCTTACTTTGCATTTTTCTAATGACTAATGATGTCAAGCATCTCTTCATGTGCTGATTTGCCATTCATATATCTTCTCTGGTGAAACACCTGTTCAGACTTTTTGTCTATTTTCTAATCAGATTGTTTTGGTTTTTTAAATTGAGTTTTGAGAGTTCTTTATTTATTATAGATACTAGTCTTTTGTCAGAGATGTGGTTTGCAAATATTTTCTCCCAGGCTGCAGCTTGTCTTTTTTTTTTTTTTTTTAAAGATTTTATTTATTTATTTGGCAGAGAGAGAGACAGCAAGAGAGGGAACACAAGCAGGGGGAGTGGGAGAGGGAGAAGGAGAGGGAGGCCTCCCGCTGAGCAGGGAGCCCGATGTGGGGCTCGATCCCAGGACCCTGGGATCATGACCTGAGCTGAAGGCAGTCGCTTAACCAACTGAGCCACCCAGGCACCCTGCAGCTTGTCTTTTAATCCTTTTAGTAGAGTCTGTCATAGAACAGAAGTTTCCATTTATCATTTTTTTCTTTTATGCATTGTGCCTTTGGTGTTATATCTAAGGACTCTCCATCAAGCCCTAGGTCCTGAAGATTTTCTTCTGTGTTACCTTCTAAATGTTTTTTAGTTTTCTGCTTGACATTTAAGTCTGTGGTCCATTTTGGGTTAATTTTTATATAAGATGCAAGGCTTAGGTTGAGGTTTTATCTTATTCCATTTGCCTAAGACCATCCAGTTGTTCTGGCAATGTGTTAAAAAGACTAGTGTTGGGGTGCCTGGGTGGCTCAGTCGGTTAAGCGTCTGCCTTCGGCTCAGGTCGTGATCCCAGGGTCCTGGGATCGAGCCCCACATCGGGCTCCCTGCTCAGTGGGGAGCCTGGTTCTTCCTCTCCCTCTGCCGCTCCCCCTGCTTGTGCTCCATCTCTCTCTCTCAAATAAATAAATAAAATCTTAAAAAAAAAAAAAAAAACTAGTCTTACTCCATTGAATTACTTTTGCTCCTTTGCCAAAAATCAGTTGGCTCTATACACATGGGTCTGTTTCTTTTCTGCTCCACTGATGAATGTGTCCAACCCTCCACCAGTACCACACTGTCCGGATAACTATAGTTACATAATAAGCTTTAGCATCAGGTGGAGCAAGCCCTCCCACGTTATTCTTTTTTCAAAATTCTCATAGCTATTCTAGTTCCTTTCCATATATATTTTAGAATAAGCTTGTCTAGCTCTAAAAAAAAAAATCTCGCTGAAATTTTCACAGGAATTGTGTTAAACCTATATATCAGTTTGGGGGGAATTGCCATCTTTATTATGTTGAGTCTTTCAGTTCATGAGCGTGGAATGTTTATTTATTTAGATTGTCTTTGATTTTTTTCATCACTGTTGTATGGTTTTCAGCACACAGTGCCTGTACATGGTTTGTTAGATTTACATCGAAGTATTTCCTCTTTTTTGAGCAATTATAAATATTATTCTATCTTTAATTTCAGTCTCCACGTGTTCATTGCTAGGATACAGAAATACAATTGGTTTTCGTATTTTTTTTAGAGAGGGAGAAGGGGGAGGGGCAGAGGGAGGGCAAGAGAGAGAGAATCTTAAACAGGCTCCATGCCCAGTATGGAGCCTGGTGCAGGGCTCAACCCCATGACCCTGAGATCATGACCTGAGCTGAACCCAAGAGTTGGATGCTTAACCAACTGACCCATCCAGGCGCCCTAGTTTTTGTATGTTGATCTTGTATCCTGTGACCATGCCCAACTCATTTATTAGTTCTAGGAGGGTTTTGTTTTGTAACTTCTTTGGGATTTTCTACGTAGACCATCACATCATTTGCAAACAGAGGCAGTTTTATTTCTTCCTTTCCAGCCAGTGTAGCTTTTATTTCCTTTTCTTGACTTACTGCTCTGGCTAAGGCTTTCAGTGTGATGTTAACAGTAACATGAGCAGACATCCTTGCCGTGTTTCCAGTCTTAAGGGGAAAGCATTCAGTCTTTCACCAATGAGTGTAATATTAGCTGTAGGGTTTTTGTAGATGCTCATCATCATCAAGTTGAGGGAGTTTTTATCTATTCCTAGGTTTTTGAGAGTTTTTGTTTTTATCATAAACAGGTGTTGAATTTTATCAAATCCTTTTTCTGTATCTACTGATATGATCACATTTTTCTTGTTTAGCCTGTTAATATGGTGGGTGACATTGATTAATTTTCTTTTTCTTTTTTTTTTTAGAGAGAGAGTGTACATACGTGAGTGGGGGTGGGAGGGGCAGAGGAAGAGAGAGAATCTCAAGCAGGCTCCACACCCAGCGTGGATCCCAACGCAAGACTCAATCTCAAGACCCTGAGATCATGACCTGAGCTGAAATCAGGAGTCAGACACTTAACCGACTGAGCCACCCAGGCACCCCCCCTTTTTTTAAATTAATTTTCAAATATCGAACCAGCCTTACTTCCCTAAAACAAACTCCACTTCATTATGGTGTATAAATTTTTTACATACTGATGAATTCTATTAGCTATTATTTTGTTAAAGATTTTTGTGGTCTGTGTTCATGAGGGATATTGGTTTACAGTTTTCTTTCTTTCTTTCTTTCTTTTTTTTTGTACTGCCTTTGTCTGTTTTTGGTATCAGAGTAATCTGGCCTCACAAAATGAGCTGGGATGTGTTCCCTACTCTTCTGTTTTCTGGAAGACATTGTATAGAATTGGTGTTAACTCATCTTAAAAGTTTAATGGCATTCTCCAGTAAAACCGTATGGTCCTGGAGACTTCTTTTTCAAGAGTTTTTAAAGTGTAAAGGCAATTTCTTTAATAGTTGTAGGGCTGTTAAGATTATCTGTTTCATGGGGCACCTGGGTGGCTCAGTCGATTAAGCATCCAGCTCATGATTTCAGCTCAGGTCATGGTCTCAGAGTCATGGGATCGAGCTCCTCATTGGGGTCCACACTCAGCGGGGAGTCTGCTTGAGATTCTCTCTCTCTCTCTCCCCCGCCAACTCACATGCTCTCTTTCTCTCTCTCTCAAATAAATAAATCTTTTTAAAAAAAGATTATCTGTTTCATATTGGGTGAATTGTGGTAGTTTGTGAAATTGGTCCATTTCATCTAAGTTGTCACATTTATGTTGTTTGTAGCATTACCTTATTATTGTTTTGATGTCTGTGAGATCTATAGTGATGCTCCTTGTTTCATTCCTGATATTGGTAATTTGTATCTTCTTTCTTTTTTTCTTTCAGTCTTGCCAGAGGTTTGTCAATTTTATTGATCTTTTCAAAGAACTAGCTTTTTATTTCACTGATTTTCTATATTGTTTTTCTGTTCTCTATTTCATTGGTTTCTGCTCCTATCTTTATTCTTTCCTTCTTTCTGTCCAACTCCACCCAGACAGCATAATGGAGCAAATAGGTAAACGATACATATGGTGTTAGTGCGTTGCATTTTCCAGATATGTATAAATAGTGATTACGTAAGTGTAGAAACTGACATTTATAGAGATCACATGAAAAGAAATTTCCTCAGAAATAAAGTAATGAGGTTCATTGGTTTTTCTGGCCTGTGGTTTCTGATGTTACTCCGTGACCATGAATCATATATGTGAACCAGTTTCTTATTCTAAATTTCTTCAGAAACCCCCTGAAGTTCAGTGTGGTGTTTTGACTTCTACACCCTAAGTAAAATCAATACCTACCTGATCCTTACTTCTCCAGGCTACTGACAGAGGCCCTTATGAGGTGTTAAGTAGCTGCTCAGAAGTCAGAAACCCAGGGTAGGATTCCAAGTTGCACCATAAATAATGAGGAGTTAGTTGTGATTTTTAACCATGGCTAAGTTCTAGTCTGTGTATAAAATAAAAATGAATGTGACCTAAATCCAAAGCCAGGTCCCTCCTTTCCAGAAATCCAGTGTATCTTTTTTAAATTGGTATGTTGTGATTGATATTTTAAAACATGATGGCAAGACACTCAAATTGTTTTCTGTTAATGCACACACTACATATTTTTCTTAGTCCCTTGAGCAGGTGTTGTTATTCACAAAGGATGTAATTTTGGCAATTTAAAAAAATGACCACAGGATTATTTCAGCAGAGGAACCTTGTATGTGTCCAGAGCACATTTGGGCAGCATGGTGGCCGTTCTCTTTGGTGCCCCCAGCTTCAGGTGACACACACATGAGGTGGTGGTGATGGTGGGGGCGGAATGGCATGTGCCCAGGCAGCCAGATGAACAGGCACCCTTCACACCCCACAGCGCAGTCATGCAAACACTCCAGGACAAGGAAGGACACTCTGCTCAGTATAATCCTGTTAGACTGAGAATTTACGACAAAGCTCTTTGCCAGATAACTTGAAGAAAAAATGCAGGAGCAGCCCTGAGCTCTTTATGTAATAGCATTTGTAACTGGATATTTTAAAAGAGTTTAAGGACACCAGCGTGTAATCAAAGGGTGAATCCTGGGATGCCCGGGTAGCTCATTTGGTTGGGCGTCCAACTCTTGGTTTCGGCTTGGGTCGTGATTTCAAGGTCGAGGGATCAAGCCCCTTGTCAGGCTCTGCGCTCAGCATGAAGTCTGCTTGGGTTTCTCTCTCCTTCTCCCTCTGCCCCTACCCCCTCCTCCCCCCTCCTCCCCCTCTCAAATAAATAAATAAATCTTTAAAAAAAGGCGGATACTGTGAGGTGAAGTACTGGGGCTCTGGGGTCTAAGCCTCAGCCACAGTCTTGGTTCCACCGTTTTCTACCTTTGTGACCTTGGGCAACTTATTTAGCCTCTTCAACTCAGTTTCCTCACCAGTTTAGATGGGGACGTTAGTGTAAGGATAAAATAAATGTGATGATAAATAAATGTGATAAAGCATTCTCTTGTTAAACGTACCATCTGAAAAAGAAAGAAGGGTCCCATCTGGCACATGGTAAGCATTTAGGATCTTTTAGCTGTTAATTGCCACATATATATATATATATATATATACATATCTCGTATATAATAATATTATCATTACTAATCATAGCATCAGTACTGCTACTATTGCTATTATTATTATCAGTGAATCTTACATTAATGGAGTCCAGCTTGCTTTTCTGGAATGTGTTACAGTTTTTCAATAGTATGGTAAAATATAGAGTCACATTCTGAGCATGTGACTTGTTGAAGTACCACCCTAAGAAGCATATCTCGTTCTCACTTGCATATTCCAGGGGATATCAGTAGCGTGAGCAGTTGGGCATTGTTTTCACCATTGTCCCCCCACAAGGAGCCCTTCAAAATGTTTCCCCCCATTACCTCTTCCAGTGAAATTTTAATACCACAGATCTGCTGTATACTTGTTTATGTAGTATCACGGTTTAGAGGACTATAAATCATTGTAATATCTAAAACTTTTTGCCCCACAAGAACCAATCTTCACACCCATGGGGGCAACACCACCCCCAACTGAGAATACATGATCTAAGTGCAGTGGTTCTCAGTTGAGGGCAGTTTGCCCCCCCCGCCCGAGGCCATTTGGCAATGTCTGGAGATATTTTGGGTTGCCTCAACTGGGTAGGGGGTTGCTGCTGGTATCTTGTAGGTAGAGGCCAGGGCCCGAAATGTCAGTAGTCACAATGCCAAGATTGTGAAACCCTGCTCTTAGTTTGATGGCAAAGTTCAAATGCACCCTGAATACAACCCAGAAATTGTTAAGGCAGGTGAAAATGGACCGTGCAAGAGAAAGAGAATAGCAGAAGTTGGCTTCCTGACCTTCAGGAACCCTTAGACAACATGGTTTACTTGTGTCAGAAAAAGGAAAAAAAAAAAAAAGGCCATCTTTGTCTTCTCAAGTATTGTTGCTCTTTTCAACGATATGGTGCTTTTTGCTCTTTCTGTCAAATGTGTGTCAAAGTATGTGTAAACACTTCAGATACGTGTTTAGTAACAACTCTGCTTTCTATTTTTCGTATGGCTGTACCTTGCTTTATGAAACAGGTGAATTCCTGAAAAACTTGTATAAATTCATTTTCCGTGAGCTGCGTGCATTCCTCTGATTTCCTTACATGATACTTTGAGAGGCTTACCTTCATTCCCAGTTGATCCTCACTTGGCCTCGCTCCTAACATGGTTGCTTTAAATTTAAATTTAGCAGCCTCTCTGCCTCTCTGGGTTTTCGAGAATGCGGACAGTTTGAGAGAGGGTACGGATCTCTCTTCAGAGGGAGCCCACCTCTCCCTTGATGGGCGCGGTCCAGGTCCTGTGCTCAGAGCTCCCGGCTCCCCCGTGCGCCCCGTCATACTCACATTCCCTTCTTCTGCTGCCCAGAGTTGGCGTCGAGGAGCTGTCCGAAGAGGACCAGAACGAACACCGCTGGCGGTACATCAGGTGACACGAGGAAATCCTCAGAAACGAATTAACCGGGCCTGGCTTTTCTCCTCCTCCTAACCCGCCATGTTTCTCTTTATGCCGTTTGGTCTCTTCTTTCCTTCCTGTGTGCGCCAGCCCCCTGCCCCTTTCAGCCAAAGGGGCAAGAGGTCAGGTCAAGTCTAACCCCTTTCCCACCCCGTCTCTGGGTTGATTGCTGTGTCGGTGTTCCTGAGAGTCTGTTCTCTGTCCCCGCATATTGGACAGTGTGTGTCAACACCAAAGCCGGAGTTGCAAGTGTCTCCCCTCTTAGACAACTGAGCTTAGCATCCAGAGCAGTCCGTTTTCAGAGCCGCAGATACTTTTTCCACAAAGTCTTGTTTGTGATCTAGTAAACAAGGCTTTTCACTCATAAAGAGACTTAGGATTTGATACGTCTGCCATGACTGGGGTAGGGCTCATACCATCTTAATTAAGCACCAGTGCTCTTTGAGTAGTTTTTAAAGTATGTAATTGTGTCCTGGCACCTTAGGGTGAATCAGAAGATACAAAAACACTTTTGTTTTAAAAAAAAAAGCAGAAGATAAAGACTCTCGTAATGCAGTTGGGTTCTCAGTGTCCACCCAAGTTTATGATTTGATTAGGCTTAAGGGGGCAATGGGGGCCAGCAGAACAAAGACTTTAATGTTTCTTTTGCCCTTTCTGCATCTTTATCGGCACGCATTCTTTCCGGCCTGATTCTCAGTGCTGGTAGATAAATCAGTGTCTGAGGGCGGTGGAGAGAAGAGCGAGGCTGCTCACCGGCCGTGGGCACTGCGATATCACCAGGCTCCAGATGTACCCTAACGATGTGTTATCTGAGTAATGGAAGCTGTTAAGGTCCCTGGGTTCACACTTTTTTTTTTAATTTAATTTTATTATGTTATGTCAATCATAAACTTTTTTTCTACTGTTTAAAAACACACACGCACACACACATTCACTTTTTGGAGGCCTGACTTTAGGTAGCAGGTAGGTGGCAGAGGAAACCCTTTCTTTTGAAATATCCCACCTTCAGGAAGGAAGGTCCTTTGGGCACTGTACAAGTTATTACAGTTGGGACATGAGAGAATTCAGACTGTGATTTGGTGTTCAGGGTTTTACATGTAGGTGTGTGTCGCATAGTCTTCCCATTATTTAGGGCCTCAGCCATTCACAATTTTGAAAAATTATCAATCGAAGTAGAACACTTCTAAAATTCCTGAGATGGCAGCTAATCAGAATGTACTTACACTCATACCAGAAGGGAAATTATTCATGTTCTTTCTATATTTTTTCATTCCAGAATGAGCACGTTAGTTTGATTGCTTTATTTTCTCACTTGGTGTGAAACTGAGTGAAATGTAAAGTATACCAGTAGTCATATTAGCCACATTTTTCGCCTGCTCAGTGGCTGGCCACTTGTGGCTCGTGGCTAGCACGTTGGACAGCGCAGATCTAGAAAGTTCTACTGGACAGCGTGGGTCTAGAATCATTCCCAAGTTCCCCCAGACAAAATGTTGAACATTACGAGTTTGAGATGAGGTTAGGGTGGCCCTACTTTTGTGAGTGTATCAAGTTATTTCACCATTTTGTGCTTTGCTGTTTTGAATTCTGGCCTGGCCACACGGACCCAGGATAAATAGATGAGTTCCTCCGACACTGCCAGAACTTGAATGAAAATAGTCACAACCTAGTCTTCCTAAGCAGTTCTGGTTGAACAAAATTTAATTCTTGTTAACCAAAGTTTTTTTTTTTTTCTTTTTAATAGAAATTAGTTAAAAGAATAGAGGGGGCTAAATTTCATTTGGCAGCTTTTATTGTGTTTGGTTTTATTTTCATTATTGTAATACAGGGAATCCTTAACCTTTTCTCCTACCCCTAGTCTTCCTATTTCATCTAGGAGAGTAAAGTCAACTTGTTTTATCTTTGCTGGCATGGAAGCCGCTTACGAAGGCTAATTACACCTATTTCAAAATTCACAGTATAGAAAGGAGAGATTATTAGTGGCAGACCCAGACTACTACCATATTCTTGGCCATACTGTGCCTCATGCCCTTTAGCTCACATAATCTCATTGCTCCTGCCCCACAATCTGGCCAGGCCTTGTGGCTAGGCTGAGGGCTGCTGTGTCACCTGGCATTCTGGTAGGCTGTCCGAGAAACACCGGGGTAACCGGTGCTCTGTGTCTGCGCTGGGAAGCTCATCTGAGTAAGCGAGTCTGCCATGAAGTGGCTTTGTGCTGCTATAGAACCCACAGAACAAGGCCTAAGATTGGATTCCTAGCTGTTGATCTTACAAATGCTAACCAAGCTACCCTATAGAGGACTTTTCTCTGGGGAACGTGGGTTAAGAGTCTCTAAAATGGGTGAGGGCTCAAAATTCCCAAGAGCTGGGAATTCCATATGTGACCTCTCCTCTTAACACTTTGATACATTAGACACACCGGATGCTTTGAGGCTCTGGTGGGACTTTTTGGGGGCAGCCCTGAGAGGCCCCTGAATTGGATGGGTTTCCGTGTCAAGAAAGTCTCTGTGAGATTTGTTGTTCAAAGATCCCTGAATAATGTCCAGTTAGGAGGACAAGCCTCCAACCCTCAGAATCTCCAGCCTGGAAGCAGTCCCTAGACACATAGCAAAGTCCATCGAACTCACTACGAAGATCCTATCAAACCCCAGGCCCGCAGGGAGGAAATCTGGTGTCAGGTACACTAGATTTTAACTAGAACAGTACCTGGCATCATAGGCACTCAGTAAATATTTGCTGAATACATGAATTCGTCTTGTGGTTTTAAACTTTGCCCTCAGCAACATACGGGCTATCTGTTTCCTTTCCCTCCATAGTTCCCCCTTTCCAGGGATGCACAGCTTTGGTTAGTGCTTGACAAACCTGCAATAAGACAGGGTAGAGGTTGACTTTGGGAGGGTAGGCACATCTGTGTTGTCTTCTGTTTTCCTTTTCTATTAGTCCCTTTTTTCAAGAAATAACCTGGGCATCATAGGTGGGAAAGAGGGAGGGAGAGAAAGAAAAGTAAGGTGCACACACATGGGGTGTTGTGGTCCACTGTCTACACATTGGAGTCAGCACCCCCGGTACCGGACGGCCAAAGACCCTTGGTTGAGGCCATTCGGCACCTCCCTTCCCAGCTCGGCTCAGACCTGCCAGAAATCGTGTTCTGTTTATAGGTCTTGGCAACACTGGAGGGAGCGTGGGAAGACAGAGAATTTTCCTGGCCTCTTTGCGATCGAGGTCACAGTTCTCCGCCTCAGAGCGAGGAAGGTACAGGGATGAAGAATTAACAGGTGCACAAAACAACAGTTGGTGTGTTACTAGGCCAAGACAAGTACCCTAGTCAAAGCATGGGATTTGTTGTAAGTGGATTTTGCCACTTTGCCTTTTCTTTCTGTCTTCAGTTGTTGATCTTGAAGGTGTCACTTCTCAGGTCATCTCCGCTGTGGGAGGACATGGGGGCACCAGGACAAAACGTTAATGATACGCATGCTCAAGTATTTAGGGGACGAGTGCTGATGTTTACAACTTTATTTGAATGCATCTAAAACATTTGATGGGTGGTAGAGAAGTGGATAGATACGCGATAAAGAAACTCCAGCAAAATGTTAATGGTAGACTGTCGGTGGCGGGTATACAGGTGTTCACTATAAATTCTTCCAGCCCCGCCCTGGGTATATGAAAAATGGCGGAACAGAAGTTTAGGGAATTAAGAGCAGGTCAGGGCAGATGTGAGGAAGCAGCAGAAAGGAAAAGGCGTGGGGCATCGAGGCCCACGGTTTGATAACTGGGACCGTCTGGTGCAGGAAGGCAGAAGGCCAGTCGCCGGCCAGCAGCCTCAAATAGGGTGTAAGCACCACTTGCCTCTCCTGCCCCCTGGGATCTGACATGGAACATGACCTCTTTCTCACGACTTTTGCATGACAGCCTTCATCTTCTTCTAGCTAACTACTCCTTCTGCTTCCGGAAGGTGGTCGGCCTCTTGGCTACTTTCAGCCAGCATGGCTGCCGTGGTCCGAGCTAATACTCTCCATTTTTCTCCTTGTCTTTCTCCCTGGTGACTTACAGAGTTGGTGTCGATCCAGATCAGGACCCACCACCCAACAACGACAGCTTTCAAGTCTTACAAGGGGTAAGTCACAAGAGATGCTTCTTCCGGGGGAAGACGCTGTGATAAAGGGCTAAAATTTATTGAGCACTTACTATAGGCCAGGCATCTTTACGTGGCTTCCCTCACCATGAGCTTGACAACAACCTTATGAGGTAGGTCCTGTTATCCCCATTTTACAGATTAGAAGCTGAAGTTGGAGAGTCTCAGTGAGTCATCTACGGTCAGAGGATTAGAAAGTGATGAAGCTGGGGTTTGACCCCAGAGTCAGCGTTCTTAAAGCAACATATTAAGGGGCTAGGCCGGCCAGGAAGAGTGTTGGAGCTAAGTCCCTGACTGCCTGCCTTCCAAGAATGGATAGACTGGATGCGTTGGTGACTGGCTCACTGTCACTGGGTCAGAGTCTATCAGTGGTGCCCAGGCAGGAGAAGAGAGGGATGGGGTCTGACTCTCCAGCCCGGGGAATCTGAGGAAGAGAGGAAGGATGTGGGTGATTACAGGCACTCCCGCTCCTCTAGGGCCTGGGATCCTCTATGGCCGAGTTCCTCTCAAGCCCAGGAATGGCAGAGCGGGGGTCCTCCCCTCCCCCCACCTCTAGGGGCAGAAGGTCACCGCCATGCGAACCGCTAAGGTTTAGGCAGGGTGGTGGCAGCAGTGACAGCCTGGGACAGCATGCTGGGGAGGGAAGCTGTAGAGGCTGTGATCAGAGGAGCCCTGAGCAGGGAAGAGGCCCCGCTACTGCAGAGAATCCCGACGGAGTCTACAGGGCAGAGAGGAACGTTCTGGCCTGCGGTTTTGCCATCTGTTCCCGTTACTGTTGCTGCATAACTACCTGCACCAAACAGAGGAAAGGGAGCAACAGTGTCTTTCACTCACGGATTCTCTAGGTCAGCAGTTTGGAAAGGGCGTGATAGGGCCAGCTTGCCTTTGCTCCAAGCAGAAAGCTGGGGGCTGGGGTCGTCCACAGACTCATTGGCTCATAAGTCTGGCACCTGGGGGCATTGGGCTTCCTCCCCGATGACTCAGGGTTCCCAGAGCCAGCACCGCAGCAAGCAAGGTAGAAGGCCACGTCGCCCTTTCTGCCCTGGCCTTGAAGTTTTCAGGGCATCACCTCTGTGACTTGCCGGTGGTCACACTGAGTTGCTCGAGGCAGCCCAGATTCAACGGGAGGGGAGAGAGAGACCACAACCTCTTTGTGGGAAGAGCATCAGCCAAGTGGCAGACGTGAGTTCGAGCTGCCACGTTACCCTTGTTACATCCCCAGGTTTGCTCCTTCCCGAGGCCGGCATTTCCTGGGCAGACAGGGTGGGGGAGGGAGGGCTTGTGCTAAGAGCAGAAATTTGTTACCCAAATGTTACTAATGGGCCCCCAGAGTCAAGAACTCTTTTGTGCAGGATGGCCTCTGAAGTGCTGAGCATAGTGCCTGGCACCTGGGGGCATTCAACAGGTATCTGATGGACAGACGGGGCGGGGGTGGGGAACGGGAGAAGCGACAGCGTGGCGGAAAGCCTTACTGACCACATGCGTGCACGTGGTCCATGACACTGTGTCGGGCGTTTCTTTTTCTTCAGTCAGCATGGAATTGCACTCCATCCTAAACCCAGTCTACATATGTCAGATGCCAGAGGACCTTCTAAATGACTCCAGCCCCTGACTCAGATTGAACAAGTGTCGCAGATGGTGGTGCTGTGCGGGGCCGGGTATTGCTGCTACAGCTTTTCCTGATTTCTTTCTCTTTGAGGGTGGTCGCATCTTGGGGGCAGTGCCCCTTAAGGGACACAAAGCCATGACCTCTGAAAGAGTGGGACGTTTTAGGAAGAGTTTTCAATGAGCTTCATTGGAGATGATAGGATGCCCGCTTTAATGGTGCTCCAGAGGGGCGCCTGGCCGGCTCAGTCGAAGAGCATGCGACTCTTGATCGCGAGGTTGTGAGTTTGGGCTCCACGCTGGGTGTAGAGATGACTTAAAAATAAAATATTAAAACAGGAATAACGGTGCCCCGGAAGACCTTTGAGATTATATTAGAAGCGGCCACTGTGTTGGGAACTTGTGATTTCCATGAGAAATTCTTTTTGAAAAGTTGCCATTGGACTCTAGCTTGGATTTAAGGAGTTTAGAAACCGAGGGCTCAAGAATTGTGCACCTGGAAGCTAATTTAGAGTCTAACAGGGAGATCTTGAAACTCACCCTGAGAAAACCTGGGTGACGTGTCTTTATTTCACTGGAAGGGAAAGAAGGGCTCCGTTAGGATATGACTGCCCTACTCCAAAGCTTCCTCCCCAGGACCGCAGCTGGTCCAGATGAATTTTGTAAGAAAAGCTGATTCCAGCTGGATAGCAAGGGTTTGGACGGATGTCATCTTGTCAGTTCCAGCCCAGTCAGACACCTCCGGCCCTTTTGCTGTCTGTCTGTTTGTTTGTTTGTAATTGCTGCTGCCTCTGGATTTAAGCATCTGTAAAAGGAAAGGCACGAAATGGTTTGGTTGCTTTCCTGTAGCCGAACTCAACATCCATCTCATAAGAACCTCACATGGAGACACAGGGCTTGTAACTAAGTTACAAGCTTGCTGTCACTGTTCCATGGAGATGTTTGGGAAAGCAGCGGGTCCTAAGTGCTAAGGGTTCGAGCAGTGCATTCAGTCTGCACAGTGACAGCTAAGACAGTGCTCCCTGCCCTAGGTGGGGCGAGTTTCTGAAACCTCCCTAGTTGGGCCTGGGGGCGGTCATCGGTGTGCCCGATGGCTCCCTGGGGGGCCCTTTGGGCCAGTTGTGAATGTGCAGTTGGAGGTGACTTCTGCTGGACTCCAAGTGGCACCCGGTGGCCAGCCCTAGCCAGGAGCTGGTGTCACAGCTTCCCCGTAACCTCCCTCCTCCCCAACCTCACACACAGTCCTGCAGAGGGTCCTCGGAATCAGTTCCACTGGCATCGTGCAAGTCTTTCAAGATTGTGTCAGACTGGGGGGAAAAAAAAGGCGAACTTCAAGCTTGGTTTCCCAGGGCACCTTCTTAAAAGGGTCTCATGCCCTCGTACTTAAAGGGCTTTATATCTCTCAGTCCTCCTGGCCTGACCTTCTCGGTCCAGTGAGCCACTAACAGCAGGGCTGGGAGCACTCGGTGGTCATGAGCAACAATAAAACAGAGAAATAAATGGGCTTCTCGTTTTTGGGTAAAATTCTGGGTTCTTGCAGTTTCCCCTGAAATGGATCCAGGTCACACGCTCAGTGATGTCATGAAACTGAAAGCCCAGATGTTTGTTCCCCATCAGAAAAGAAAGGGCAGTTCTCTTTACCTCATCTTCTAAATGATCTCCCTAAAAACAAACAGGAAAGTGACATTTAATGGGAATCAATTTCTTAGGACAGCATGATTTTCCTCGCGGGGTCTAGAAGCCTAAGAGTTATGGCTACAGAACTACAGAATAATAGCTCATGTGGGGGAAGGAAGGGAGCTTTTGGCTAGAACTTCTGGCTTTATGTGAGGGAAGCATAAGAATATTGTGGGCAGACTTGAGCTTCATGTCCCTGGCAAGTTTGACTCATTAGAACAGAACAAAACAAAAAACTCAGTTGCTTTATTTCTCCAGAGGTCTTGGTGACTCTGCAACCAAAACAAAAACAAGCCCAGCTGGAGGCAAGCTGCCTGGGCTTGGGGGTGGCTTCCCACCCCATTCAAGGGGGACCTTTTCATGCCAGACAGAGACATCATTCACTTCCTTCCCCAAGTTTACAGAGGAGCACTCATCCGGGCGCCCGGGTAGCTCAGTCGTTAAGCGTCTGCCTTCGGCTCAGGTCATGATCTCAGGGTCCTGGGATCGAGCCCCGCATCGGGCTCCTGTTCAGCGGGGAGCCTGCTTCTCCCTCTCCCACTCCCCCCTGCTTGTGTTCCCTCTCTCGCTCTCTCTCTCTGTCAAATAAATAAATAAAATCTTTAAAAAAAAAAAAAAAAGCACTCATTGATGGGGCTGCTTTGGAGTAGCGAGGAGCACGCATCCGAATTTATCCTGGCTTTATCTAAATCTCAGCAGGACCGGGTCACAAGCAGGATATTAGTGGAATGTGGAGGAAAGGAAACCACTGGGCTTGTGGTGCGTGTGTGCATGTGTGCGCGCATAAGTACTCGTGCACATAGAAAATCAGCTGTTTATAGTTGCGTTGACATAATAACTTTCTGGGTCCTTCCCCAGTTTTTCTCCAGGCTGAAATCTGATACCCGGTCACTTAAATCTTTGACTTCAAACAGTTGCTGAAGGGCCTTTTATCAAATTCCTCCTCTTTGCTCCCCCTCCCCCTCCCCCTACCCCCCATCACCATGCTTTTCTTTTTTGTTCTTCTGATCTCCCCCACCTTGGTCCCTGAATTCCCTTCTGGCTATTCTTTTTTTTTTTTTCTTAGACGTGCAGAATTCATGGGGCGTCTGGGTGGCTCAGTCGCTAAGCATCTGCCTTCGGCTCAGGTCTTGATCCCAGGGTCCTGGGCTCCCTGCTCCGCGGGAAGCCTGCCTCTCCCTCTCCCACTCCCCCTGCTTGTGTTCCCTCTCTCGCTGTGTCTCTCTGTGTCAAATAAATAAAATCTTTTTAAAAAAGTAAATGAAATCTTCAAAAACTTTAAAAAATTAAAAATAAAAAAGTGCAAAATTCACATTAATTTATTCATGCCTTTGACAAATGCTTACTGAGCACCTGTTATATCTTGGACAGTCTTTCAGGCTCAGGGGCTACAGCTGCAAACAAGACACGTGCACCTCCATCCTTAAGGGTGTTGTGACAGTGTGATGAAGGGGACGGGTACGGGCGAGAGTGCCAGCGGTGAGATCAGTAGATCTGTCTTGCTGCCCTGAGCGTCCCCACGGACCAGCAGCCTGAGCACCACCAGAGATCTTATAAACATGCAGACTGTCAGGCTCCACCTAGACCCACTGGCTCTGAACCTGCATTTTAACGGGTTTCCCACAAGGGTCGTGTGTCCATTCACAATTTGAAAAACCCTGGAGTAAGCATTGTGGAGCTCTTGATTCCCTTTTTTAAACCTGTATTACCTATTATTTTTAAAACCTGTTATTACTCCCTTCTGAGAGTCATTGGCTCCACCATTCCAGGGACAGGAAGAAGAAAGGCCCAAATTGGGTCACATCACTTACTTGCTCTTTTGCTCTGCATTAGATTTCTAGGGCCGCCATAACAAACTCCCACAGACTCAGTGGCTTAAGACACCGGTCTTACATTCTGTAGGTTAAAAGTTTGGTGGGCTCCTCCGGTTTCTCTGTTTCAAAGCCGAAATCAAGGTGTTGGCGGGGTTGGGCTCTGGGGGAGAACCCACTACCAGGCTCATTCTGGTTGCTGGTAGAATTCAGTTATGTGGTTGTGGGACTAAAGTCCTATTTCCTTGCTGACTGTTGGCCCAGGGTCAAGTTCCTGTCCTAGAAGCACCTGCATTTCCTGGTTCATGGCCCCCTCTGTCTTCAAAGTCAGCAACAGTGGGGCGACTCCCTGTCACACTTTGCATCTTTCCTGCTTCGTCTTCCACTGCAACTCTCTGACTCTTTTGCCCTCCTTGTCTACTTTTAAGGGTCTGTGTGATTGCACTGGCCCCCCTGGAAAACCTTAAGTCCATCTACAAAGCCCCTTTGGCCATGTAATGGAACGTACAGGCTCCTGGGATTAGGACGTAGAAATCTTTGCGGGGGAGGGAGTATTCTGCTCCATCTCTGAAAAAAACCGTAAGTTGCTCTCATTACTGTAATGACCTTAACTTTGAAAATTTATATCTTAATAATAAGAATGGAATGAAATATAACTCTGCCCAGAAATCATTATTTATTAGTTCTAGAAAAAATATTCCAAAAATAGGACCTTTTGTCACTCCTCAGTTCTGGAAATGTGCTCCTTGAGGGGCAAGTGCTAGTCTCATTCCTCTTTGTTTCTGGCACCCAGCATGGTGCCTGGCACACAGTAGGTGCTTAATGAATGCAGAAAAAAATATATACACTCGTGGTTACATCCTTGAAATATGGGGATAAGGAAAGTCGGCGATACTTTCTTAAAGGGGCTTCCCTATTAATAATGTCTACAACAAGCTTAAAAATCCCTTGTGTTACTCATAAGAACATAGGGTAGAATGGGGGTTACCAAGAGTTGGGGGTTGGAGTTGGGGAGATGTTTAAGGGTACAGGCCTGCAGCTAATAAATAAGTTCTGGAGATCTAATGCACACCATAGTGAATATAGTCAACAGTACTCTATTATAAACTACAAAGTTGCTGAGAGAGTAGGTCTTAATTGTTCTCACCAAAAAAATAAATGAGAATTATGTGAAGGGAAACAGGTGGCAGCTCATGCTACCATGGTAATGGTACTGCAACAGAGAAATGTATCAAACCAACACATCCTATGCTGTAAACTGAAACTGACAGAATGTTATATGTCAATTACATCTTGCGCAAGACAGTGGCACAGCCAGGAGTAGAGCTAGGATCTGGACCCACAGACTTTGTTGAGAAAGCCTGTGATACTCATACCTATACCTCTTGGCATGCTCTGTTGCCTTTGAAACATTTCTCAGAGAAGCCAACCTTGTACCCAGCCTTGAAAAATGAATAGGGATTGGGCAGGTAGGTGTTGTAGGTGGGAGAAGGTGACCGTCTGAAAGGATGCTCCAAGTTCTAAAAGCAGCCTGAGCTAAAGACATGGGGCATAAACCCTCCTGTGGGAATGCAGGTTTGGGGGAGCAGGTCCCCACCTTTTCTGTGGGCAGCACTTGAATGGAAATCCAAGGGTCTGCACCTGCAGCCTGGGAAGGGGGCTGCCCATTATAGGATCAGCCTGCACCCACACTGACCCCTGCTCTGCCCTAGACTGCCTGGAGCAGGAAGGGGGCCCCCAAATCCCCAAATCGGCAAGCAGGTTTGGTTGTCTTCCAGGTCAGCTTAAAAAATTAGTCCCATTCCACAGATGTTCCCTGATTTCTCCAGAGCCACCATATGTGGATTTCTCCATGTTCTTCCTGTACCTAGTCATGCTTCTGGCACCATCTCTTAGAATAAGAAGTTGTTGAACACCCCTGTTATGAAGCTGCACTTTTTATTTGCTCAGAATTTACCCCTGGTAACCTTTCGGGGCTGTCTTTTAGTTAGGTTAGGACGACAGAGTCAGGGTTTGTGGTTTTTATTGCTGTTTTAGGGGAGGAGCAGATGCAGCTGACTTGGGGGGACTTGTCTTGTGCCTGATGGCTTACAGTATCCTTCCTGATGAGGTGTGTCACCGTGTTAGTTTCTTCTTTGGTAAGATTCTACAGGCACTTAGAGCCACGCGCTTAGAGCCTATCACTTTATAAAGAACCATTTAATTTTTCCATGAAGATATTTGCCCCTTAGAATTCTCATGTACCGGGGAACCTGGGTGGCTCAGTCGTTTAGTGTCTGCCTTCAGCTCAGGTCATGACCCCAGGGTCCTGGGATCGAGGCCCACATCCGGCTCCCTGCTCAGCAGGAAGCCTGCTTCTCCCTCTCCCACTCCCCCTGCTTGTGTTCCCTCTCTCGCTGTCTCTCTCTCTCTCTCTCAAAAAATAAAAATCTTTAAAAAAAAAAAAAAAAAGGAATGCTCACCTACCACTTTTCCACTCAGTCGAGGGGCATTCGGAAACCTCCCTCGAGCTGGCATTACGTCACCAACTAATTACCCAAAGGAATGATCATGCTCTGCAGATGGAGACATTTCTGTGCCCTCTTTCTTCCACAAGATTTATAAAAATATGAAATGCAGTTAGTCTCTGGGAACTCTCTCTTTTTTTTTTTAATTTTCCTCATCCCTATAAGGGCTCATTTAACTAAGCCATTTCCACATGTGTCCCTAAATATCCTTCAGATACCCTAGGGACTCTGTAAAAATAACCTTTGTTATTGGAAACATTAGAAATTTAAATAGTGCTTGCTAATTTCCCTCCCTTTACTTGTCCCTGTGCTCCCCCTTCTCGGACATCTCTGACCGACCCGTACTATCTCAGTCACAGGTGGGGCTCACACCTGCTGTGATGTGGAACTCCTTGGAACTGTGGCTCATCTTGCGTTTGGCTATTGTCAGTGGCACCTCGCCTGTAGAGTTGCCTCTCCCTGTACCATTCCAGGGGGTGATGGCAAAAATGACTGTGCCTCCCAAGCAGTCTGTAGTTTCAGAGCTTGTCATCCGATGACGCAGAACTCCAGCAGCGCCCTCCGATGGCCACAGTCAGTCCGCTCTTTAATAGTAATTGCGCTGCTTATACTGTTTGCACAGAGCAGATGACCCAAGCCTCAAATGAATGTTTGATTTTGCAAGTCATTTTGCCAATTAAATGACGGGGATGTTTGAGCTGGAAAGGAATGGAAGGAGTAACCACTTGAGGGCAGCGGAAATAACAGAAATGCGGGGCCCCTGGGTGGCGCAGTGGGTTGAGCGTCCGACTCTTGGTTTCCGCTTGGGTCCTGATCTCAGGGTCATGAGATTGAGCCCCACGTTGGGGCTCCACGCTCAGCATGAGGTCTGCTTGAGATTCTCTCCCTCTCTCTCCCTCTGCCCCTCCCACTCATGTGCTCTTTCTCTCAAAGAAATAAATGAATCTTTAAAAATAATAGAAATGTTAGTTCCGACCCCATTTCCCTCGCTCACTGCCCCCATCTTCCTAAAGCTGCCAGGGCAACAAGTTACTGCACCACCTGGAAGGCAATGTAGGTGCCTCAGTAAGGACCACCAAGAGCCCGAGGCTGAGCCGTCAGGGAACGACCAAATGTGACTTCCCCAGGCCAGCTCTGGGGAGGCCTGGGAAGTTGGTTTTATAGAAGCCTTCTTTAATATTCCCTATAGATCACTTTTGGCCCGTTAGGATCTACACTATGTTAGCGTAATCAACCTGCTAAAAGGCACTTTAAGGAAAATTACAGTAAGAATGCCAAAAGAAATTTTGTACTGCACTGAGTTGATCTGTCCACAGACATAACCGAGCCTTTTTACTTTGGGGGTTGATTTGTCTGCCTTTTGGATTTATTCGGTTTCTTTCAAGGTACTGCCTCCCAGTATATCTGAAACTTTGGTGATATAGGATGTTTGACTCTGAGCTCAAAATCTCTAAAAGTTATTGGTTAAAAAAGAAGCTTCCCCCTCCCTTCCCCCCCCCCACACCCCATTTCAATCCCTTTTCTGCAACTAAACATCTGTCTTCTGGTTTGTTCCTAGGATGGTCCAGATTCTGCCAGAGGAAACCGGACGAAGCAGGAGAGTGCCTGGCTATTCAGGCTGTGGTACAGCTTTGACCACAAGTATCCTTTTCAGTGGCTTCCCTGTATTTGTGAAACATCAATGGTGAAATTCTCTTATTGTCAGTGAACGACTCCTGATGAGTAAGGAAGATGTGTGCTTGGTACAGGTATACTCAGTCCTCTCTTGGGCCACATGCAGTGTTCATTCATGACCTGAACCAAAATCAAGAGTTGGACGCTTAACTGACTGAGCCACCCAGACTCCCCCAGAAAAAGCATTTGACAAGATCCAACATCCTTTCATGATAAAAAGAAAACCTGTCAACGAATTAGGTGTAAATGGAATGTATGTCAACATTATAAAGGCCATATATGACAGGCCCACAGCCAACATCATACTCAATGACAAAAAGCTGAAAGCTTTCCTCTGAGATCGGGAAGGATGCCCACTCTTGCCACTTCTTCAATACAGTATTGGAAATTCTAGCCAGAGCAGGTAGGCAAGAAAAAGAAATTTGATTCTCCAAATCAGAAGGGAAGAATTAAAATGGTCTCTGCAGATTAAATTTAAATTAAAATTGTCTCTGCAGATGACATGATCTTTTTTAAAAGGTTTATTTATTAGAGAGAGAGTGAGCACAGGGAGGGTGGAGGGGCAGAGGGAGAGGAGAGAGAGAATCTCAAGCGGACTCCCCGCTGAGCGTGGAGCCTGATGTGGGGCTTGATCTCAGGACCCATGAATTCATGACCTGAGCTGAAACCGAGTCAGATGCTTAACCGACTGAACCATCCAGGTGCCCCTGCAGATGACATGATCTTACATATAGAAACCCTTAAAGACTCTACCAAAAAACTCTTTTAAAACTAATAAATTCAGTAAAGTCAGAAGATAGAAAGTCAACAGACAAAAGCCAGTTGCATTTCTATACACTAACAATGAACTATCCAAAAAAGATATTAAGAAAACAATCCCAGGGTGCCTGGGTGGCTCAGTTGGTTAAGTGTCTGCCTTCAGCTTGGGTCATGATCTCAGGGTCCTGGGATTGAGTCCCGTGTCAGGCTCCCTGCTCAGCGGGGAGTCTGCTTCTCCCTCTCCCTCTGCCTCCTCCCCCCTGCTCATGCTCTGTCTCTCTCTCAAATAAATACATAAAATCTTTTTTAAAAAAAGAAAACAATCCCATTATGATACCATTAAAAACAATAAAATACTTAGGAATAAATTTAACCAAGTAGGTTAAGATCTATACACTGAAAACTAAAAAACAGTGATGAAAGAAGTTGAAGAAGACACAAATAAATGGAAAGGTATTTGTGTTCATAGATTGGAAGAATTAATATTGTTAAAATTGCCATATTAGCCAAAGCAATCTATAGATTCAGTGCATCTCTATCAAAATTCTAATGGTGTTTTTTAAAATAAAAACAATCGTAAAATTTGTATGGAACACAAATTACCCTGAATAGCTAAAGCATCGTGAGCAAAAAGAACAGAACTGGAGGCATCATACTCCCTGATTTCAAATTATATTACAAAGGCATAGTAATCAAAATAGTATAATATTAGCATTAAAACAGATACACAGACCAGTGGAACAGAATACAGAGCCCAAAAATATACCCTCACGTATTCGATCAACTAATCTTCAACCAAGGTGCTGAGAATACATAATAGGGAAAGGACAGTCTCTTTAATAAATGGTGTTGGGAAAACTGGATATCCACATGCAAAAGAATGAAACTGGAACCCGTCTTACACCACTCACAAAAATCAGCTCAAAATGGATTAGAGACTTAAATGCAAGACCTGAAACCATAAACTCCTAGAAGAAAACATAGGAGAAAGCTCCTGACATTGGTCTTGGCAATGAGTTTTTGGATTTAACACCACACGCATAGGCAACGAAAGCAAAATAAACAAATGGGCCTACATCAAACTAAAAAATTTCTGTACAGCAAAGGAAACCATCAACAAACTGAAAAGACAATCTATTGAATGGGAGAAAATATTTGGAAATCATGTATTTGCTAAGGGATTAATATCCATATTATATAAGGAACTCCTCCAACTCAACAGCAGAAACCCAAAGACCCCAATTTAAAAAATGGGCAAAAGACCTGAATAGATGTTTTTCCAAAGAAGACATACACTTGGCTGGCAGATACATGGGAAGTTGTTCAGCATCACTAATCATCAGGGAAATGCAAATCAAAACCATGATGAGATCTCACCTCATATCTATTAGGATGGCTGTTACCAAATGTCAAAAGATAACAAGTATTGGGAGGCTATGGAGAAAGGGGAACCCTCTCCTACACTGTTGGTGGGATGTAAATTGGTGCAGCCACTGTGGAAAACAGAATGGAGGTTCTTCAAAAAATTAAAAATAGAACTACCATAGGATCCAGCAATCCCACCTCTGGGTATGTATCCAAAGGAGATAACATCAGTGTCTCAAAGAGATATCTGCACTCCCATGTTCATAGCAGCATTATTCTCAGTAGCGAAGATATGGAAATAACCCAAGTGTCCATCAGTGCATGAATGGAGAAAGATATGTGCGCGTGTGTGTGTATATAGTGGAATATTATTCAGCCATTTGAGACAACGTGGTTGAACCTGGAGGACATTATGCTATGAAATAAGCCAGGCACAGAAAGAAAAACACTGCATGATCTTCCTTATGGGTGGAATCTAGAAAAGTCAAACTCAGAGTAACAGAGCATAGAATGGTGGTGGCCAGGGGCTGGGGAGTGGAGGAAATGGAGAATGTTGGTCAAAGGGTACAAACTTTCAGTTATAAGATGAATAAGTTCTGGAAACCTAATGTACAATATGGTGACTATAGTTAATAATCTGTATTGTATTCTAGAAATTTTCTAAGGGGGTAGATCTTAAGTCTTTGCATCACACACACAGAAAAATGGTAACCATGTGAAGTGATGGATATGTTAATTAGCTTGATTGTGGTAATCATTTCACAATATACACTTATCTAAACATCTCCTACACCTTTAATACATGCAGTTTTTTATTTGTCAGTCATACTTCAATGAAGCTGAGTGGGGAAGAAATTATTCCTCGAAGAGCACCAGGAGTGATCTCTAAAGTCTCTGAATGTAAATTTTAGCGACAAGGATTTCTCCTTGTTTAGTTTGGAGGAGAGAAACTAAGAACAGAAGCAGGCACAAAGTGTCTGAAGAATTAGATGAGGAAGGTGCCCATAGTTCATTCTATAGCTCCCTAGAGGATCACACAAGAAAATGTGGGCTTTGGCTGCATCAAAAGAGGGTTTGGCTGGATGGGAATGATCCCCACAAGGCAGAAAGAGCAAGTGTGGTACCTCCTTCACTGGACAAGCCTGAAAATGGAAGAGATGGGCTTCCAATTTAAGATAAGAGGCTCAGCGCACACACATAGCTCTCTTGTTGTTCCCGGGCCTCCTTGGAATCACAAAAGAGATATTTTGGAGTACTCGCAAGACCAAAGGTAGAGGTAATTGTAGCAGAGAAAACCATAGCCTAAGACCAAAGCGAATCTTGAGCCAGTTTGTCTAGGTGATTTATTAAAGAATGTTGTAACAGTTGCAACAGGCACTTCCTGTGTCCACAGATCAACTGGTAGCTGTTAATTTTCTCTTCAGGCCATAGCTCTCTAAAGAAAGTAGACATACTACCTGGGGAGGGCTTGATAGAGAAACAGATCTTGAGGCCACCAAAGAATATTCTCCCTAGAGTAACCTCCCCCCGCCACCCACCCAACTTTGGCGTGGTCAGATTCCCCACCTGCTTGATGAACTGAGAAACTGAATAAAGACATGGGGGGCATGCCAAAGTCATTCATTCCTGTATATGTACCTGCCTGTCCTATATATGTACATGCACATATATACATATATATACACACACGCATATATATGTATATATTTTTAAGTAAACCCTACACCCAGTGCGGGGCTCTAACTCATGACCCCGAGATCAGGAGTTGTATGCTCTACCAACTGAGCCAGCCAGGTACCCTGCCGAATATTTATTTTTTAGTTTTTCTAATAAAAGCCTTAGAGTTGCAAGGCTTTTCCAGTCACAGTGTAAGAACAGGCTATTAGAAAAAGGAGCAAGCAAATAAGAAACTTTGGAAATTAAACATAAAGTTTCTGAAATGAAGCCCCAAAATGGATAGTTTAATTACATGTTGGAAACCAAACTGTTGATCTGGGAGATGAAGCTGAGGAAAAAAGAAGCTGTGAGAATTCAAGCACAAAGTCAGAGATGTGCGAGGGAAGAGTTACGAGATGAAGAGGCCCAGAGTCCTTGAACAGAATCTAAAAGAAGATAGAGACTGTGGAGGAAAAGAAGAACCAAAGAAATAATGGAAGAAAAAAAAAATCCCTTGGCTAAGGGCAGATTCTTGTCTCCAGAGTGGGAGGGCCCACCTGGTGTTAGTAGCATGAATGGATCCGTTGGAGCATTCCATAACTAAAGGGGAAAAGCAGGACTCTTCATGGCTTCCCAAGACAAAGACTGGCAGCCTTTAAAGACAAAGAATCCAACGTGGCATTAACAGAATTGAAGGTTAGAATACCATGTAGCATTGTCAGAGTTCTAGGATGAAAAGAAAAAGTCTGAGCCTAGAATTCTACACCCAAGCTGAGTGGGCAAAAAAAGGAGGGTGGCTTTCAGACATGCGAGAGTTGAGAAAGTTTAGCACTGTGCAGACTCTCTAAGAAGGAGGGGGGAAACCCAACAGCAGCATAAGGATCAGATAAAACCAAAATCAGATCCAACTAAGGGGACAACAATGAAGAAGTCATTTTCTATAACCCAGAAGTGAACAAGATCAAAACAATTAAAAGAAGATCTTGTATTTCGCAAGACACTCAGGTTTCTCTTCTCACTAACAAAGTTTAAATGACACTGTATTACATTTCTTTTAATAGTGTTCTAGCCACGGGGAACCTGGGTGGCTCAGTTGGTTAAGTGACTCTTTTTTTTTTTTTTTTTTAAAGTAGGCTCCACACCCAACACAGGGCCTGAACTCACAACCCTGAAATCAAGACCTGAGCTGAGATCAAGAGTTGAACGCTTAACCGACTGAGCCATCCAGGCACCCCCTAGTGTCTGACTCTTGATCTCAGCTCAGGTCTTGATCTCAGGGTCATGATTTCAAGCCCCTCACTGGGCTCCACGCTAGGCATGGAGTCTACTTTAAAAAAATAAATAAATAATATTCTAACCACTCTACTTGGTTACAGGGAATAATACGCATATAACAATATTATTACAAATGCTATTTGGTGGTTTTTAACATTTAGACTCAATTCATAGACAAAGTATAGAAAATTTACTTATCAGTTATAAAATAGAATGCAAATGTTATATCTGCAGTATAAAATTAATTGTAATCAAAATTAGGAAAAACTTGAAGAGGCAGGAGTATAAATGAATTAAATGTACCATCCTTCGCAGGATGGAGTTAAAAGCCTCTGACTAAAGTTTATAAATCAAGAAAGAGAAAAAACTTACTCTCCTGGTGTAGACACACACACACACAGAGTGGAACACTACTCAGCCATACAAAAGAATGAAATCTTGCTATTTGTGACAACATGGATGGATCTTGAAGCTATTATGCTAAGTGAAATAAATCAGAGAAAAACAAATGCTACACTGATTTCACTGAAATGTGGAATCTAAAAAACAAAACAAAGAAAATCCAGATTCATAGATACAGAGAACAGATTGGTGGTCGCCAGAGGGTAAGGAGGTTGGTGGAGTGAAATGGGTGAAGGGGACCAAGAAGTACAAACTTCTTGGGGCGCCTGGGGGGCTCAGTCGGTTAAGTGTCTGCCTTCAGCTCGGGTCATGATCCCAGGGTCCTGGGATCAAGCCTTGCATCAGGCTCCCTGCTTGTCAGAGTCTGCTTCTCCCTCTGCCCTCCCCCGCTTATGCTCTCTCTCTCTCTCTAGCTCTCAAATAAATAAGTAAAATCTTAAAAAAAAAAAAAAAAAGTACAGGGGCGCCTGGGTGGCTCAGTTGTTAGGCATCTGCCTTCGGCTCGGGTCATGAGCTCAGGGTCCTGGGATCGAGCCCCACATCGGGCTCCTGCTCAGCAGGAAGCCTGCTTCTCCCTCTCCCACTCCCCCTGCTTGTGTTCCCTCTCTCTGTGTCTCTCTCTGTCAAATAAATAAAATAAAATCTTTAAAAAAAAGAGAGAGACTTTAAAAAAAAAGGTAGTACAAACTTCCAGTTATAAAATAAGTAAGTCGTGGGGATATAATGTACAGCATGGGGAATATAGTCAATAATATTGTATTAATTTTGTATGGTAACTACATTTATTGAGGTGATCATTTTGCAATAGATACAAAAGCGAAATCACTACATTGTACACCTGAAACAAAAATAATATTGTATGTCAGTTATGCCTCAATTTAAAAAAAAAAAAAGGTCTTTGGTGAAGTTGTAATGGTAATTACCAGAACAACTGGATGGGACAGAGACTTGATATTTCATTTTGGCCCTTCAAAGAACTTGCATATTTAAAAATCTATCTGTAAATAGCTTTTTTCTCTCTTTTAAAGAAGTTGTTAGAGGGCCTTTTGTATTTGGGGACTGTGAGAACTTGGCTTTGAACTCCCCGAAGCGGGCCACTGAAAGGTAGCCTCGGGGTTCCGATGTGCCTGTATATTAGTCCTTCTGGAATCCAGCCTTGCTGTCAGCTTCGCAGCTAGACTCAAAGTAGCCGATAGGCCAGCAGGGGCCATTCCCAGAAATGTGGTTGGAGGACAGTGGTCAGAGGGGGCTTGTTCGGTTTCGTAAAGAGGTTCAGCAGAGCCCACACCTTGTTCATCGTGGAGTAATTCCCTACAAGGAGGATACTCCGGGGTCTTCCTTCCATCTCCTCCCAGAGAAGAAGGCTTTTTTTCTCCTGTGCTGAGCAGTAAATATTGATGGTGCTCAGAGCAGTCATCCTCCGGGGTACAGATGACTAGGATACCTCCTTACCTTCCTTTAAATTCTCTTGGCCGTTTCCGCCGTGGAGGTGGCCATGTGAGTCTCCACCTTTTCCATATTGCTGGGGCTGTGGGTACCAGAAATGGTCCAGGCGCTGTCATATCATGACGCATGCTTCGTGGTGCTTCCCACACAGGCTCATGCATTTGACGGCACGGATATCCACAGACTGACAAATCCTGAGCTCCCAGGGCAGCTGACCTTCACCTTAGAGTGGTGGTCTTAACCGAGGGCAGGTTTGCTTCTCAGGGGACATTTGACAATGTCTAGAGACATTTTTTTTTAAAGATTTTATTTCTTTATTAGAGAGAAAGAATGAGAGATAGAGAGCATGGGAGGGGAGAGTGTCAGAGGGAGAAGCAGACTCCCTGCTGAGCAGGGAGCCCGATGCGGGACTCGATCCCGGGACTCCAGGATCGTGACCCGAGCCGAAGGCAGTCGCTTAACCAACCGAGCCACCCAGGTGCCCCATCTAGAGACATTTTTGTTGTCACGCCTGGGAGAGGGGTCGGGGGTGCTCCTGTCCCTACAGGGCAGAACAGTCCCCTACAACCAAGAATGACCTGACACCCAGTGTCGGTAGTGTCGAGATTGAGAAGCCGATATGCTGTCTCCTGTTTCCAAGACGTGAGATGGTTGTGTGTCCAAAGCTGGAATGCTGATTGAAACCAAAATTCTCATGCAACATAACAAGGGAGAAGGATGCTCTAATTAATCAAATACTCTTTTTGCCTGAAAAGCGGGAACCGCCAACCTGAGAGTTAACAGTGAACGCTTAAGGCTGACAGGATGGTTTAATCTTTGATTCAGATTATTGTAGACCCCAAGGATTTTCTGAATCATACTGGTAAAATGTGGGGGAGGAGGCCTTTTGTGGGTAGCAGCCTGGATGATTTACTCTGGGGGATTTCTGAACACGTTGTATTGGGTGTGTGTTTTCTTTGCAGACATTTTTTCCTTAATTCTCTTTTTAAAGTTACTTGAAGCCCATCCTCACACACAGTGGCCCCCCGTTGACCACCACGCTCCCAGCCTGGTGTGGCCTGCTTGCTCGGTGTCTGACCAGTCCTCAGGTGTACGACGTAAGTACGGCGCGTCAGGGGCGTTTTCTTGCTCACTGGGTCCGGGGAGTGTCTTCCCCAGGAAGAGGAAACCTGTTGCTCGCAAGCCTCCAAATCCATGGGTTTTGCGTCTCTAAGTAAGATGATTAGAAATGGCCGACTTCCATATGTTGATCTATTTTGCACAGTAACAGGGAAACCTTTTTACCCGGGCTGTGGGGCCCCGTCACGTCCGCAGCTGTGGTGTAGTAGAAAGAGCACTTGATTTGGAATCCGAACAACTAGATTTAAAGCCAAGCCCTGAGGCCATTTAAGTGTTCTGTGCCTTGGTTTTCCTGTCTGTAAAGTGGGCCTAGTTGTACAGGCTGGCTGTGAGATTAAAGGCTAAGGTACAGAAAAACACCGTGAACTGCAAAGCGTTTAGCAAATGTGAGGATTCTTTTTGTGAATACTTTATTTACATTGATATGGTTAGGCCCTTTCCGTTTTCAGATTCAGACTTAGCACAGTATGAAAAGAATATCCACACTGGTGGACATCTGAGCTTTGGGACTGACTTGCGAGCTCCTCATGTGGGTTGCTGGGCAAAAGGGTGGGGAGAGCAAGCAGCTACCCACACAGAAGGACTGGAGGAGAGGGGAAAGGCCCTTCTTCCTCTCTCTTCTGCCACCCTCATCATCCGGTCACAAATACAACCATTATACCCTAGGAGAGAAGAACTCCTTAAATTTGTGTAGAGCTTTACAGCTCACAAAGGCCAGGTTTATTCTCTTGGCCATACTGTAAATAATCAGCTACTACAGGGTTACAGAGGAAGAAAGTGCCAAGGTCCCAGGATTAGTAATTGGCAGAGCTGAGACCCTAATGCAGGTTTCAGAGAATTCACAAACAACCTGCAATTGACTTGATTAGCGTTGAGAAAGCAGAATGCAAAGCCCAGATCTGGGAGAGAAGACCCCTGACCAGTTCTAACGGGGCGGGGCAGCGGGCTTGGGAACGATTGTTTGCATTCGGGTGGTACAGAGGGGCAGGGGGCATAGCTGGGCGGGGGGTGCTGGGGTCTGGCATGCTAAGGAGCAGCCTCATCAGAGATGGGGCGACTTGGTCAAGAAGCAAGAATCTGTCCACTGTTGCTTTGGGCTGGGGTCCTGACCAGGGTCTCAGGCAGCTACAGACACAGTGAGGCTTGCACTTGTTGAGAGAGTGGGAGCATAGAGTCTTTGAAAAATTAATTGAGGAAGCCCAAGGTGAGAGAGTGGAGGGGCCCCCGGTGGGGTTTGGAGCCCGGCAAGGGTCTCGGGCAGGGCAGCTCTCGCGTGGCTGTTCGACACTCTGTGGTTCTCACCCATCACCTAGAGGGCGTTTGTACTTTTGGTTTAGTTGGGCCATGTTGAAGATGTTCCTTATTCACTCTTTGCACTAACTCTAAACCACTCAGGTTGGATATCCACCTAGAAAACAGGGTTCTTCCATTCATGAAAGTGACCTCTGGTTGTTTAAAATGGGCACATTCCTGCAACACACGTTTGCAGGGTTATTCAACAGCATCTTCACGGCAGCCTTCAGGGGACAGCTGGCTGCATAATTTCACAAACCTCCAGCTTAACAAAACTTTCGTCAATCCTATCATCTAGAATTCGAGGAAGTGGATCGGTTTCATCATCTGTGTATCACGTTCATTAAGCTCTGATTTGGAAATCCCTGTCCACTGGGTTTTACCATGTCCTTGTTTCGGGTACTATTGGTCTGGGCTTGTGAGTTTCATAATGGAATGGGTCAACATCCAATCTTGCTTTCTCCTGTCGGTGAATTTGAGCCCTGCTTCCCACTGCCTCGGGTCAGCCAGCGTGGGCCACACGGGCTGGTGTGGGGGGGGGAGGGGGGGAAGGTGAGGAATGGGGAGGGCCTCAGCTGGGAGGCAGTAGGGGGCGTGGCTACATTTGCAGCATTTCCCTCCAAGCAGTTGCTTCACATTCCTCTCTGTCCTCGAAAGAGTGAAATGCGTGCCAGGAGAGTCTCCCCTGAAAAGGGGGAACTAAGAGCCCTGGCTGCGGTATTTTGACATTATTACTTAGCGCTCGCAGGCACGGGAGAAATGGAACGTGCTGAAACAGGGAACACGATCCCATTTGTTGTTAGGAAAACGGTCGCGGGACAGATGGAGCCTCGGGACTTTCTAAATACTGATGGCGAGGAGGAATTTGGGGAGTTTGGAGTGAGTTTTGGAATTACGCTCTGCCTGAGTGGAGGATTCTTACTCGGTTGCACCTTTGCACGCTGCCTCATTCCAGTGAGGATTTGAGGCCACAAGCAACAAGAGTTGCGTGCTCGCCTGTCAAAAAAAAGCCGGAGCACTGGGTTAAGAGGAGTCAGGCTGTGGAGCGTGGAGAGGTCGACATCACTGAGGAGTGATGCAGAAAGCAGGCTTGAGCTTGTCACCAGTGAGCACACACAGACAGGCTGGGACGGGAGGAGGAGGTCGGCAGACCCACGCGTCCTCCCTGGGCGCTGAACAGGCGTTCCTCTGGCACCTGCTGTGGCTTAAGCCCCTCAGGGAAGGGCGCCAGGAAGAGGAGGCGGCCACCGTGCTTTGCTGGTTTCTCACCCAGAGGGGGGTGCAGGTGCAGGCATGCCAGGGAGAATCTGCCCGTGGCCTTGGACAGCGTGACTGGGGGGGGGGATCGGGGGGGGAGGGTAGGAGGCTGTCGGGGAGGCGGGTTCCGTGCCCTGCACCAAGGACATCCTGCCGCGTAGACGATGCAGGACTCCAGAAGCACTTGGAAGAGCAGGTGGGCAATAGGAGAGCAAGAGCACTTTAGCCAGAGCATTCTGGAGCCGTGTCTGACAGACGTGCTGTGGGGGCAGGAGGGGAGCCAAGCGCCCCTCGTTTTGCTGGCGAAACCCATTAGAGGGTGAAGGGTTGTGTCTGACCCCGCGCTGCTTCCCGAGCCCTCCCCTCGGTCTGGAAGTCTCGAGAGGCCGCCGCTCGGCTCCCGCCCTGCCTGGCCCCGCTCCGACTGCTCTGCTGCAGCTGCAGCTTAGCATGAGCTGCCGGCCGGTCCTCTTCCTGACCCGGGGAGTGTTCACATCCTCACTGTGGGCCGAACCGGTCCGGAGGCAGCAGAAACCCCACCTCCGCTTCCTACCAGCTGGACCTCCTGGGGCACAGTCCATAGGTTCTCTGGGCTCAGGTCTCCTCCTCGGACCCAGGAGAAGGGGCGGGGGGGGAGGGTGACTCGCCAGCTCCTATGACCAGGGCGCCCTGGCGGGCCCGAAACAGGCGGTCAAGAAGGTGCCCCTTCCCTCTTGATGTCTCACTGCATCTACCAGAGGGCTTCCCGTCGGGGGTCCTTCCGTGGGGACAGGAGGAAATCCTAATTATGCGTCCCCCGTCCCTCCGTTGCTGACTAGGACAAAGAGTAGTTCAGATGCAAACCGGGTGGGTTTAGGGTGGTTCGTGTGGGGCGGGAGGCCCTCTCAGAAGACCTGCCCCGAAAAGAGAGGGGCCCGAGAAACTAATTTGCATGTTTGCCCAGTGACCTTCCCCCTCCTTCCTTTGAGGGTTGGGAAGCTGAAGGCCCAGGCTGGCCTCCCTTTCTTCCCTTTTGTCACTGACCCCGAGCCGTCAGGCATTTAAAATCGGAACTGCTCCCTGGGCCTCGAAGCCCTGCTTTGGGCAACGGTGCCTAAGCTTGAATAGCCCTGGACAGTTGGCATCCAGTATCCGCTCTGGAGGCTCAAGGCAGGTGGGTTTCACGGGCCCCAGTTTTCAGGTGAGCAGTCGAGGTCGGGCTTGGCGCCCAGCCTAGAGGAGATCGGTCTCCCATTGGCCGCTGTTGCTCGTTGCACTTTTCAGAACCAAGAGCCGCTGAGAGAGGAAGACTCAGATTTCATCCTGACTGAGGGCGACCTCACCCTGACCTACGGGGACAGCACAGTGACTGCGAACGGCTCCTCAGGCTCCCACACGGCCTCCACGAGCCTCGAGGGCAGCCGGAGAACCAAGAGCAGCTCGGAGGAGGTGCTGGACCGAGCCCTGGGAACAGGAGACCAGCCGGTGTCAAGCCGGGGCACGCGCCTAGTGTTCCCCCTGGAGGATAACGCGTGACTCGCCGCGTCCCCCCCCCCCCGCCCCAGCCTGCCGAGATGGGGGTGCAGTGAGGACGGCTGCAAGCCCCAGGCTTGTCCGACTCGGGGCACTGACTGAGTGGAACTAATCCTTCTGTTTTATTGAGGTCTGAAGCTCTCTTAACATTTAAAGTTTAACCCAAGAGGCAGAGGGTGGGGCTAAAGTGTCTCTCAATCAAGACAAACGCAGACCTATTCCCACTTTTTCACATAGTAGTGTGCTGTTCAGAGTCAAACAAACAAATAGCATGCTTTCACGGTCTAACTCATTCACCTGCAGAATCCGAGCAAGCTGTGGCAGGTATGGGGAGGCCGCCCCAGGAGAGGTTTCAGATCCGTACACAGCAGCGCAACCCTAGCTGGCCGCAGGAATAGCGAGGTGGGGGAGGGGAGAGCAGGCCAGACCAACGATCCCGAAGGAAGGCAGCTGAGATTGGACCTCCGAAGATGATGGGAAGCCAGTGGTCAAGGGGACAGAACTTAGGAGGAAGCAGTCTGAGCGCGGAGGCCCTAGCACCGAGGGCTGCAGGACCATGATCTCACGTGATCAGGCTTCTGGACATTCTGCACTACCTGGGTTTCCTGTAGATTGACGATCAGAACTCTATCCATGAACATTTCAACATGGGGAAAGGATTAGAATTCCTTCTCTGGAAATCTCCAGAAAGAAGTAGCTACTGAAATGTTTAAAACCAAAGGCAAAATGGTGTTGTACTGTTGGGTTTTTAAAATTAATCCGAGGGCAGGAGAAACTGTTTAGGGACTGATGACAAAAATCAGTCAGTTCTTCGGGGCTACCACGGAGATATCTACTGCGGGGTTTAGGAATAACACCAAAATTTGTGGGATGCTTCTATGTGGGGACGAGAGAGCAGCAAGGAGCCTAGGAGGCAATAGGCTAGTCTTCGGGGGCGGGGGGTGGAACCACACTGCAAAAAAATTAACCACAAAACACAGGATACTGTTCTAAAGACCGAGTAGAAGTCCAAACTTGGAGCTACTAAATGCATGAGATTTCCGTGGCCGGGTGAGGCATGAGAGGCAAGTCAGTGGAAAATTGAGCATTATTCAGTCCAGTTAAGATTAAGAATCCAGATGTCTTAACACTGAGTGCCATGTAGAGAAGGGTCATTTTCTTGGTATCTGGGGAGCCTCGTACCAGCCTAATGTGTGAGCGTGGTTTGAAATGTAGGTTCTGAGTTGGGGCTCTCTGTGGGTGAGCTCTTCCACCTACCCACACCTGTGGTAGCTAAAATCCCGAGAGAGCTCTTGGAAGCCAAGTTTGAGATTCTCCCTGTGTCTCCATGCTTCAGTGCTGGTGTATTTGAAAACCCAGTCTCTTAAAAAAAAAAAAAAATGCTCTCATAAAATGTGGGCATTTTTCTTCTTGTGGCAGACAGAATAGTGGCCCAATCGAGTACACCCATAATGAAACCAGCCATTTAATCTGCTTAACTCATATTTTTAATGGTTAATATTTAGATAAGACATTATACTTTGCTTTTTGAATTGATAATTTGTGCAAAACATACAAAAATTGAGCCATATGAAATTGCTGATACTGAACCAGTTTTCAAAAACAGAAATGGCAGTTTCGTATGGTTCGAGATAATATAATTAAATGATTTTTATTCCCCTCTTTCTTTTCTGTGTACCCTAAAGTCCATTTTGATTTTATCACGGGCATCCGTGGGCTCTGTAAGCTTGAAAAACGAGCTAAACCACCCATCTAACCCCATGAGGCTCCGAATTCCCTAGGCTAGTGAAGGACTTACAAAAACCTCTGAGCCAGAGCCAGAGAAACAGCTTTTTTTAGAGAGCCCCTGGACGGGAGGTCATTATGTCGTGGGGTCAGAGTGCAGAGGGTGGCTCCCAGGCTTGGCAGATGTGCCCAGAACCAGCACAGGTTTTATTCAGTAGAGTTATCTCAGTAACAACCAGTCATGCCTATAAACTCGAAAGGTGAGGAGGCTTTTGTGTGTGTCTGTTATTTGCAGAGGTGGAGGGATAGGCTGGTCAGCTCCTTGGTTGGGTCTTTATAAAGCCTTGCTCACCTCTTAGGTTGCTTACTTATTTCATTTTGGAGGGAAGAAGCTAACAGAGAAACCCTGATAGGGTTCTTGAAAAGAGCCAACCGGGTAGAGGACCCACCCTCTCTTCATTCAAGTCAAGGCTTTGTTGTCATTTTGGTTTTCCAGGAAGCTTTCAGCAAATTAATAAGAAATTACCCTCCTGAGGAGGAAAAATAACCAGAGTTCTCCCGCCCAGTCCTAAGTCAATCCATAGATCGTTGTGTTTTCTCCCAAAAGGGTCTTGCAGCCTTGACCGCAAACGTTTTATTTGGACCTACTTAAATCTAAGTAAATGGAGATTTGCCAAGATCAGAATTTTGCTAGCGTTGTAGTTATTTGGTTGGATTTTTTATTCAGTGGATCGGAGTAAGTCACTGACCTGTGGTCCTAATTTTTGTTTGCAAGATATGGAGAATAATCCTGACCTTACCAGGGGTCCCAGGAAAGGAGTCTGTTCATCGAAATGCTTCCACCTTCTGGAAGCTTTATGCCTATGCTGAGAGGGGAAAAGTAGGTGTCACTAAGCCCCCAAACCATCTAACTCAAGGCTATCTGCTGCCAGTCTGGCATAAATCAGATTGAAACTGCTGAGTGCATCCAATTTCTCCTCTTAAACATAACTGTTCTGGGTTGGGTGGGGGGATGACAGTTCAGAGCTGGATGTTCTAGAGCACAGGTTCTCAACCCTGGCTGCACATTAGGATTCTCTGGCTAGTTTGTTTGTTTGTTTGTTTTTAAATATCCATGCAAGGGCCCTGTGCTCAGAGATTCATATCCAGTAGGTTTGGAGCGGGGCCCGGCTTCCGTGCTCTGTTGTGGATCTTCAGGGATTCTAGTGGGCAGCCAGGCTTGAGAGCCTTTTTGTCCAGAACTTGCAGCAGACCCTGTTTGGAACCTTAAAGAATGGCCTAGCAAACTAAGTTTCCTTTCATCGCCAGTCCTCTGGAACAAACCCAGTGTTGATCAATCAACACAGCCCGGACAGCTGTGAGTTTCATGCACCTCATCTTTGCAGAACTCTAGAACATACTCCGTAAAGTACAATCGAAAACGTCACATTTGAACACCTTCGTGCAGGAAAGGGAGAGACAGGTGACTTCAGTGGATGGACTGGGTTGGTGCGGGGCGAGGGGTTAAAAACCTGTCCCCTTTGCCCCCTTTCGTGGAAAGAAAGGGGTTGGGTCTTAACAGAGTAGCTGACTATCAAGTGCGAAAGGCTTCGGAGAAGCTGTCTTTTCAGTATAACCTGGGATTAAACGGAGTCCCCTTTGCAGTCCAGTCAGCTTGCTTTCTTGTCACAGTTAGCTTGTCCCCAGGCCCGAATCCCTGCTGGACTCCTCAGGAGAGGGGTGGGCCCGTTTAATAATGCCCAGAGTAGAGGCCTCGGGGTAAGGGGAAGCCCATGACCACTTCAAGGTCACGAGGCAGGCGTGTTGGCAGACTTCTGTGTCGGGCCGACGGCGGGGCGGGGCGGATTCCAGCCGTGCCTTTTCATACTCTCCTTGGGGACTACACGGAGACCTGAACTTTGTCTCCTGGAGAAGGAAATCTGCACCTACTGAAATGAGGCTGCGAATAGAGGAAGAGGGCATACGCGGTTCCATGGCCTCTGCCCAGCCAGGGTACTCCCTGGGGCGGCCAAACCAGCCCCGATGCCTTGCAGCCCAAAACCCACACTGCGACATCAAATGTCTCATCAGGCAAACAGCAAGGAGCTTTCGGGCTGTGCTCTCTAGACCTGAAAATGTCCCCTGTGGTTTTGGACAAATGAAGTCGCTCTAGAAAACATGAAAAAGGTTCTCTCAGCTGTCCACGAACATGTCAGTCGAGGGCGATTTCCTTCCAAACTAGAGGGCTGTTTCATGACACATTCCCTACCCCCTGCCCCCAGGTGTCTCTCTCCTTCTCTTTGCCCGCAGGGGAAATCAATGTCACCATGTCAGATACCTTAATATGAACAGAACCATTTCCAAACGTGGAAACAGCACTGATGCACTGAGGGGAGACTGGCGGGGGCGAGGCCACCGAGCCGCTCAACAGAGGGGAGGCTCATCCTCTCGGGCCCCTAGCTTGGTACCCGTTGTGAGTTCTCAGAGGTGCACCACCGAGCTGCTTGTCCCATCTGTTGTAAGATGTCCTTCTGGAAAGTCAGCTTGCTGATTCAGGAAGTATGTGACTTCTTACTCCACTTCAGAAATGGGGAACTTGACAAATTTCATGCCCGCCTCTCGATGCTGATTCTATAGATGAATTCGTGTAGGAGTGCGTCTGTCACGTGCATCAAAGCGGTACCACTGAGTTCTGGTGTCTTCTGTTGGTCTTTCCTCAAGTGTCAGATGCTGTACTCCGCTACAGTAAAGTTGAAGGAAATCTAGCGGCCAAGAGTTAGTTAGGAACAACCCATCTGATTGCTACTTTCACTCTGGTACCTTGAAGAAACCTTCCACCTTTCTAAAACCCAATAAGGACAGTATACAGAGGAACACTCCAGAAAGCAATGCTAGTCTCTAACTAGGAAAAGCAAATAGGCTCTTTGACAATCTTTTCAAAACCAGACCTAGAAATCAACCCCCTTTTACCCAGTTTCAATTTTCATAAGTAGGACTTTCTGTGTTTTTGTTTTTAAAGGAACATGTCTTGTCACCCAGTGTGAGCAGAACTCGTAAAGAGCGAAACCAAAGTTTTTGATGTTAGTTTTATTTTTGTACGGTGGGGTAGAACCAGGGCCCACACGGAACACGCAGGCAGCCAGTCATCTGCCACACGAGCCTGGGAGAAGATAAGGTCTGCCTGTCCGGCCGCGTTCTGAAAAGCCCTGAAATGCACAGGAGAGCCCCGGAGAGAGGCCTCCTTCTCTTCAGGATGGCCGCATTTTAAAAAAGGGTTAAGGGAATTGCCACGTGTCAGGGTCAGCAGAAACTTCCAGGGGCTGGTGGATGTGGGAGGAACTCAGACCACAGGGGCTTGTGGACAGCACGAAGAACTCTACATGTGCTGTCCAAAGCACTGAAAGGCCCCAGGGCTCTTGGGTGACTGTCCCACCACTTGGACATTTAGGGCTGGGCTTTGGGGAAGCAGAGGAATGATTTCCGCGTGTGTGTGGGGGGGTCATGTCTGGGGATTTGGGACTTATCGCTGAAATCACTTGTTCAAAGTGCGACTTCAGAGCAGG